GTTTGTTTTTTTTTTTTGATGCCAGGACCCAGCTGGGCAGAAGCGCTAATCCTGCTGCATCCTGACGGAAAACCCAAAACAAAGACCACACAAATGTCAGAGGCATTTTTTCCCATTCAGTTCGTTTTAATTGAAAAATTCTGAAATCACATAATTGCAGACGGTTCCGACGGGTCCAAGGCAGCGTTTAGCGGCGTAATTAAGAAAATAAACCCCTCGGACTCGGCCTGGGAGTCTATATAGAATTACTTGAGTGCAGGCGTTTACTTTTAATTTGTAGCCCCCTTCCGGAGCGCTGTGGGGGCGGTGAATGGTCAAAAAGAAAGCCACGTCGACAGAAAGTGAAAAGCCCGTTTAGCCGTGTTAGCCTGCTTTTGAAGTTCAGACACAGATACAGATACAGATACAGCTACAGCTACAGATGCGTTGGCGCAGAGATACAGATTCAAATGAATCTGAATCTGAATCCGAATCTGAAGAGGAGTGCGCTGCTCATTTAGGCGCAATGTCCACAAAGGAGTACCCCTTACCCATCCCCATCCCCACTCCCACGACACGCCGACTGCCATTCATTCGGGCTTTGGGATTAATTTTGGAATTATGAACGTTTTTGAATTCCATTTAAATGTTGTTTCTGCCGAGATAATAACTGAAAGGACAAAAAAAAAGAAAAAAATGCAAACGCAATTCGCTTAATACGCCCGAAGGCTTAATGAGCTCGAAGCTATAAAGGAGCAGGTCCTTTAACCAGGAGGTTGGGACATGCCAAGGGGTGAAGGCTCCTTATTAAGGATTTGCTTTTCTTTCTGCATATATGCAAGAAATTAGTCGGTGGAGGGAGGTATTCAAACAAATCCATACATAAAGGGTCTTGGTAGATAATATATCTTTAATGAAGTGGGTGGGATTATTGTTTTAAAATTCTTGGGATATATCTTATAAGATATATAACTCAGGATCTCTAAACTAACCCCAGTCTTAGGGTTCAACCCCTTTTCTTCCTCTTTTTTTATTAATTTAATTTTTTTTTGTATTTTTTTTGTTGCTCCTGGCAACCCTCTCGAGTCAAAGAAATCTGCGAGCGCCAAAGAGTGAGTCGCGGAGGGGGAGGAACATGGATTGGAATGGGGCAGAAGTTGACCAATTATATAAACCACTTACATATGTATGTATGTACAGACACATGTATGCACACACCCTCTCACACACACACACACGCAACAAAAAAAAAAAGACTGGAAACTGAAAACGAAAACACGTCAATGCGATAATTATTAATAATTATCCACTCGTCCTTCTTTTTCCTTTTGCTTCTTTTTCAGCTGCCCCTGCTGGTTCCTCGCTGGATTCCCCAGCTCCCGCTTCTCCTTAAATCCCATTCCTACACTGAAATCAATTTTAAAGACTTTGCAACACCCATAGTATGGGTCCCATACCTATCATAATCTTAAAATAAAAGTGTACTTTTCCAGTTGTTTAAAGTGTAGTCTGGCACTTGGAGGCGCCACTGCCCCTCATGCCTCCACCCCCCACCCCCGTCCTTTAGAGTGGCATTGCAACAAAGGACCACGCACCCTCCCCCCAAGCACGCCACGTCCTTCGTCCTTGGCCCGAACCCAACTGAACTGCTAATGGACGGGCAAAACTAAATTATGGCCAAAATGGTGTTGGCTTTCTGGCTGGCTGCCACTTATGTGCCACTCACACATGCACACACTCGCGCAGGACAACAAGGACTTCCCCATTTTGGAGTTGTGAGCTCGGAGCGTGTGCATGAAACATGTAATTATGAAATTAACGATTTCCAAGTGGCCCAAAGGAGCGTGTCGTCCAGGCGGGAGGACGAGAGGCGGCAGGACTTCCACAGCAATGGCCGATATGGCGAATAACGTGTCCTGGCGGTACAGTCTATAAACGAGGCACAACCTTCTCCTGGTGGCCGTATTTCTGATTAGCCAAAGGCAGACCCAATACCCAATGAAGCAGAGTCGCAGAATTCTTGCAGACTCATTGATTCTGCTAGTTCATTGTGTCCCTGGAACACAGCAGGATAACTCCAAGGACTCCAAGAGAGAGAGAGAGAGAGTCCCCCAAACCGCCACGACGAGATCCATTCAATCGCTGAGCAAAAAGCCCCGTGGAGTGTGAAGACCGATTGCGGTGGCCGTGACTTGGCTTGGTTTTGTGATTAGTGAGATGGCAGGACGAGGTCGCAGGACCCCCGGCTAATCCTTGCTGGCTAAGCAACAACAATGGCAGTCCCAAGCAGGGCTAATATGTGGCCGGGACGACAATGCCGTGCAATTCCCCCCGGGGGACCCAAAGTGAGCAAAAACAAAACCCAACAAAAACCGATGCAATCGAAGAAGCGGCACAAAAGTGGCGAAATGTGAATTTCAAAATTGCCAAGCAGATGGTGGCAGGACCACTTTTGGTTAATTAGTTGGCTTTTAGCCTAATGAGAGGCAGAGCTACATCTAGAGCAGGAGCAGGAGCAGGAGCAACCAAAGGGTGTCGTCATCGTTGGGATCAAAGGATCAATCAACCAATAACGAATCGAAGTGAGTTCCCAATTTGCATACAAAACCCGGGGATGCCTGATGCTCCCACACCCAGTCCGGGACGAAAAAACAAAAAAACAATCTGGAATCTGAAATCTGAAAAGCAAGTGGGCCGAATGCAAAAAAAAAAAAAAAACTCCCAAGTTCTTCCAAATGCATCTCAAGTGGCCGTCGAACATCAAAAAGAAAAGGCAGCGCCGCAAACGGCACAAATAAAATAATAAAATATACATATGAACGGGAGTATATATGGTATACTATACATGTATTATGTACAAGAGGCTTTTAGCCTATGAAGTGGACTTTTAGCTTTGCATATGGAATCTGGAATCCCAATCCCAATCCCAATCCGAATCCGAATAGTCGCAGACCCGCCTCCATTCGTGATTTATGCGACGTCTCTTTGAGGCTCAAGTGCAGATTACATTATAAATATGAAATAATGCTACGGTCCTCGAGGACAATGCCAAACGGAAGCTCCTTTTATCGAACTTTTGTGTGTCGTCCTGACCACTTTATGGATGGTCCTTGGCTGGCTGGCTGGCAATTAAATAAGGGGTTTGGGGGGAGGAATGGTATCCCTGCACACCCTGCAATTCAATTGAATATAATGAAATAATAATGTTTATAGAGTTTCAAACAAATCGGACAATAATTTTGCGACAATACACCAATACACCATCCAGCGAGTCCCGATCTCAATTAGATTTATTTCGACTTGAGGAACAGAAACAATGGGCTGCGAGGCATGCCCCTTGAGACAAGTGCGGAGATTAAAGCGAGAGTTCTTTCAAAATTGTCAGTTCTAATGTATGTTGCAAGATGAAAGTGTTTCGTGAGTGGGTTGTTGCATGAGGCAGGAGGATGGGGACAGAGGATGTCATAAAAGCCTAACAAAAAGGGGGGAGGGGTCTTCAAAAACTAGCCTTAATGATAGTCACTAGTTAAGTTGATACACTATGAAAAATGCCAGGTAAATCCATATTATCGAAGATATAATATAATATTTTAGTGCTGGTTAGTCCCATTTACTAATTATTTAAAACCACACTAGTCTGATGAAAAAAAAATGGAATTAAAATGGGAAACAGGTGGGTGGAAAGGTCGACCTGAGGATGGACTAATTGCTAACCAAGCAGTTAATTGAATTGGCATATTGATTATGCAATTGTTATGCAATGCGACTAATTAATGTTTGCAAGTGCAACGCGAAGCGATAGAGAAATGGGGACCCCTAGGCCCTGGTTGGGGAAGGAGAAAGGGGGTATGCCGCCAGCTAATCGATACGAGAGAGCCGGCAATAGGCCGGCAGAAAGACAGAACGAGAGAGCAAGAGTGAGGCTTAATTAACATGACCAACTTTGGCCTGAACAATGCTCGTAATTTGGGGACAAACGTGGAGAGCGGAAGTGCCGGGGGGGCAGTGGGTCTGGAGGGGAGTTGAAACTTCCAGGAAAACTTGACTTTCACGCCACCAGAGAGAGAAAGAGAGAGAGAGAGAGGGCCTTTCCAAAATTTGAAGCCAGCTCTTACAACTTAAAATTGCCCGTCTCGGTTTTCAGGGAATACTCTTCAGAAACCAAAATATACTTTTTCTGATTTAGTTTACCAACAAAAACCATAAATAATACCAGAGAACCCTTGAAGTATTTCAAAGATTCTTACATCCAAAGGCTTGGAAATCTCAAGAATCATGATCATGATCGTGAAAGTCCATAGGATAGAAAGCCAATCGATCGAATTTAATAATTTTTTAATATTTTAATCACTCTAAAAAAAATATAGAAAAGAAAATCAACTCCCAGAAGCAATCGGAGCAGCACCGAAATTGGCAAAACAAACTGAATCCCGAGTAACTCCAAGGCCCAGAGCGACACGGAATATCGCAGCGTAATTAACACTCACACACTGACACCTCTCACGCATAGCGTTTACACTGTCCGTGAGACTTCCAATGGCGACAGGGAAGGAGAAAGCGGAAACCCGGCAGCCGAAGCGAGAGCGCAGCAGCAACACCCCCGGCTCTCTCGGGTGCAACAAAGATGGCGAGAGCGGTCCGCCACCGCCATCTCGCTCTGGCGCGCAAAGATGGCGCTGGCCGGCCGCTGTGGCGGCGCTGTTGTACCTTTAAGTTCCGGCAGAGCGAGCGGTGCCGCACTATAGCTGCGCAGTCGCCGTCGTAGCAGCGGCGTCGCCGCCACAGGCAGAGCCATGTTATTCCGCTGTTGCGGCTCTGTTAAGAGCTTGGAAAGGCTGTCAGTGCTTGGGATTGCACTGTTAGTCCTCTGTTAGGGGCTGGGCTTTACTGTTAGCCGCTGCCTCGGTCGCTGGCGCTGCCACTGCTGCGTCGTCGTCGACCGAGGCAGCGACAGCGACGCGCTCTCAGTGGTTTAAAAGCATCAACAACTACAAAATTGTTTTTTTTCGAAAAAAGTCGTTCATTGGGTCGCATCGCGGCTGAAGTCCGGAAAATTCTGAAACCTCGCGGAAAGTGACTTGTGCAGCCAGAAGAACTGTGTGATTAGTCGAGAAAGCAGTGACGACGGACGGAATCCACGCAACGGCAATTGCCATTTGAACTTTGAACTCGAGGCGCCAAAAAACCAAAAACCCAAAAGCTAAAGCCCAGTGCCGCTAATACTTTTTTTCCTGTGCGTACGTACGTGTGTGTGTGTGGCGGCCATGAAAGTGCAATAAAACAACAACACCAGCCAGCCCGCATCTGCCACTCTGTGTGAGTCTCCGGAAGAATTCGCCACGAGAAGACGAGGAAGCTTGAGCGCCAGAAAGCCGTCGGCAAACATGCAGGCCACCAAAATGCGTACCCCCTTCGCCATCCAGGAGATCCTCGGCCTGGGCGCCTACCAACAGCAGGCGGCGGCCGCTGCAGCCGTTGCTGCCACGCCCTCTGAGGCACCGCCCTCACCGGCAGCCACACCGCCGCCCCCGCCACGCACTCCGGTGGGTAATGGTGGTGCCGGAGCAGCCGGCTCTGGGTCGCACCAGATGCCCCACCAGCAGCAACAACAGCAACAGCCCAACCAGGCCAACCATCCGCTCATCGACGGGATCAGGGACTCGCGCTCCATATCGCCGGAGGTCAGTCGGTTGTCCGCCGCCGCAGCAGCCGCCGCCGCTGCGGCCGCCCACTGCCAGCTGCCGGTCTTCAATCCGGCCAACTTCTATGCCGCCGCCGGCTATGCGGCCGCTGCAGATCCGGGCAACGCGGCAGCTGCCCATCATCACCATATGACGACACTGGCGGCGGCCGCCTATCTCCGGGGCTTCCTGCCGCCCGGGTTCAGTACGCCGCACGAGTTCCGGGGTCACTTCCAGCAGCACTTTGGCGCTCAGTTTGCAGGTGAGTCTATCTCAAGATTGTATCTCAAGGGGGGTTATAAAGATACTATTCGTAGTCTTTAAAAATAGTGTCTTATGATTCTGAATGATCTTAGATTTGTATCTTAGGGAGGTTATCCGAAATTCTGGATATTTTTCAAGTACTTTGAAGTCCCTAAAAGATGGGATTATCCGGAACTGCATCCTAAGTTCCTAAGTTCTAAGTTGGTCTTATATAAGAAAGTGTTTTCCGAAGACTTTAAAGCCCATAAGGGGGGGCTATAGGGATCTAGGATATAGGATACTTGTATCTTAAGATTGTATCTTAGAGAGGTTTAATCTTTGACTCTATATAATGGAGGGTTATAAGTATGGTATCCTAAGGGTTCCTAACTATTCCATAAGAAAAAGTCTTCCTTTCACTTTAATGATTTTACAATTAGATGGTTTTGTATCTAAATAGTGACTTAATGGAAAGATGTCCCTAATTGACCATAACTAAGACTTGTTAGCCCTGACCATTAGCCACCAAATGGGACAACCAACTCAGAGACAGCTGCTCTGCTCAAGTCCACTTGCGATTCTGGAGCTGAATGTCTCACCTGTGCGGGAGTTCCTATTGTCATGATTCGCAGCCTCAGAACACAAGCTTTGAGGAATAAATAAAAAAAAACAATAGGGCTAATTAGGGGGGACTCAGGAGGAGGCAAGGCAGACTGTTGCATCTGCTGGCGGGCTTCTGGGTGCAACCAAGTGGCAACCGCATCTGTCTCTCCTCCAACCCTTCCCCCTAAGCCCGGCCCACCCGTAGGCGCAACTAATAAGCTCGGAAGCTTGGCAAAAAAAAAGGGGTTGGCCGCGTCCTCATCGCCTCGGAGTTAAAACAATGAGGCGACGTACATGACAAAAGGGGCATAAGATCGGGTCCGAGCTTATTAATAAACTGTGGACGGGGGAGGGCAGAGAGTGTGAAGTCTCACACATGCCCCGGGTCGGGGACTCGATTCTAGCGCTAATTAAGCGAATGATTTTCTGTGAAATTAGCAGACTCCACTTGGCACGAGCATCCATCCACACAACCCTCACCCTAAAACGATTAAGGTCCAGGGATTTCCAACCAAGTTTCAGTCGATTTTTATTTAATAGTCCCCGTGGGAGAAAGTCGGGCAAATTCCATAATTAAATTATAATGAAATCCTGTTTAAAATTTCCCATTTTTTTTTGTATACTTCAGAGATTATGAAATGTGGCCAGCCACCTGATCTTGTTTGTTTTGTGGCATTGTTATTCTTCTTCTCACATATGTGGCCTCTCAGGGTCTCAATTTCGTAGCCAAATGGTTACGCCCCCGCACAATTTTCACCTGAATCCGACAGATACAATTGCATCCGAGACTTACACGCACTTAATTTGTTAAATTTTCACACTTCAACATCTGTTTATTTGTCATTTGGCATTGTGTGGTTTTGGTGTCCGTCATTGTTGTTCTTGTGGGCCGCTTTCACTGTTGACCTTTTCCGGGAGCCTGCTACCAGCCACTTGGTCGGTCCTTGGTCCTCGGGCACTGAGAGAAAACGTCAGCAAGATGTTGCAGTGCCTCCCCTCCATTCCCAGGCAGTTTCTTCCTGTGCACTGGGCACTGGCCGTGTTCTTGTCGGTCATGCCCAGGCCAACATCTTGGCCTGTTTGCCGAAGGACTGCTGTCCTCTGTCCTCCGTTCGCACTTTGTTTGCACAACAGCAGCCGTTGAGTTTTTCTGGAGTTGCGAGACCCTTACCCGATGACTCTGAGACCCCGAGGCTCCTGTGAGCTGTAAAAAAGGCAACAAACGTCGTGGTGTCCTTCTCGGCCCAGGATCGAGATCAGGAGCTGGGTGCGGTACACAGGGGCGTTAGTTTTCGAGGCAAATTGTGTACAAAATAAATCGACTCGAGTGGTTAACCGCAGCTGGAACATTGGAAAATCGACTACCAGAGTGCCACAGAGGCGAAAAGAAAAAATAAGTGCGACCCAGGACGTGGCAGTCCTGGCGCATCCTTTCAGAGTTTCAGTGGAGAAAATTGCTACTTTGCTATCTACAAGCTGCTCGGCACGTTGTTAGCCTTAATTTGAGTGGCCATTGAGGAGCTCTTCGTTCTTCCTTTGGTTCTGGCTCTGTTTTCTAATAAATATTTACTGGAGAGTCATGCAAGTGCTTGGATCCTGCCCGGGGACCGTCGAGTATGTTGTGTCCTTCAGTCCATATCGCTGTCATCTGGTCTTTATGCCATTCTCTCGGCCATTGTGGTGAAAGCTGGGTCTTCTAATGGAAAATAATTGCCGGCAAATTGGTTTCCCTAATTGGGGTTCCCCCCTGCAAAGCAAAGCAAATTAAACTAAGTAGTTCCGCGAGATCGCAACTGTTTCTCAGATCTGATTAGTCTACCAGCCGGATTAACCTCATTACCAAACACGTGTCCAGACAACCACAACAAAGACAATCAATAAAGAAACCGAATCCCGAAAAGGAAAAACCCCAAAAATCTGTGGAAAAGCGATAGGGATCTGGAGAGTTCAACCTCTCTTGGGCGAACAAAGACCTGGAGGTGTCTCAGATATTTGCGATACCATTGTTAGCCCTGGGACGCACTTCCGATACGAATCCTTGCACATTTCCTGTCAAAGGAAACCCGATAGTTTTTCGCACATTTTCCCTCAAAAATGTTGTAGTTCTCTGCAGCTCAACACAAATTACTCACAAATTACTATATCAAGTGTTAATTATGTGACAATGAGTCGACCAAAAAGACCAAAAAAGACCAAAACAAAAAAAAGACCAACAAGAGCTGCAATCGACCAACTCTACTGTTTTCGTATCATAATTTTTTAATTAGAAAACTACGAGTTTGGATTTCAACGAAACGAAACGAAAACAAATATGGTCGATTTGGGATGGGATAGTTGGGATAGTTTGGAATGGTTAGGTTTTCCGAGACTGGGAATTTCTGGGGAAGTGCAACCGAAATGCAAGTGGCTCCGTTGGATAAACAGAGGGCCAAAAATTGATGACAACAAGTGGCAGGCATTGAAAGGAGCCTTCTCCTTCTCCACCTCCACCTCCAATGCCTGCTTGATGTTCTCCTTCGAAATCAGCTGCATGATCAGCCAAATGCAGTCGTTGTCCCTCTTCCTGGGCCACTTGTCGTCGTCGTTTTTTTTCCATTTTTCATTTTCCTAGGAAGCACTCGAGAGCGGCGTGTAAACAACTCAGATTTTCCAGCTTCGGCTCTTAGGCTCTCAGACTACGGAGCTACGGAGCCTGGAGTCCAAGTCGCAAAGCTGAGCTCTAAGCACTATAAGCTATAAGCTATAAGCCATAAACCTACAAGGCTAGTCAGCCCATCAGGCGCAGCCCTTGGCCCGTTAAGTGGCTTTGTTCGTTCCTCGGTTGCCCCGCCAGGCGCTTTTCTGCATGATTTTGCAGTTAAGGCCCCCAGAGGGCTGGCATTCAGCATTCGGGCCAAGTGGCATTTGGGGAAAAGTGCATTGGATGGCCAGCCAGACAACATGATGGACAATTTTTATTTAGACAATTTTTTTTTAGAGGAGGTAGAGGGATAGGGAGGAGATCCTGTTGCCAAAATCCACAGATCCCAACAAATGAAAGGAGATTTGGGAAACCGATTCATTAGAACTCTATAGTTCGGAGCCGGGCCTGGTTGGCTTAAGCAGTTGGTTTAAGTAACCACCATTGGCTAATGATGAGGAAGCCCGGAGAAGAGCGGAAATGGGACAAATTCCAATTACCCCCACAATTCCTGGCACTTAAACGGCCGTTAATCGAATCGAGCGGCTAGGACTCCAGAAAACCAGAAGCTCGAGTGCCAACTACAAGCTGCTCTCGAAGCCCGGCACGTTGCGGCATTTTCGCACCAAATTGAATATTAAACGCGTTAATCCATTTTACGGTCTGAAGCTGGGCCCGGAGGCCGAAGGAGAGGCCGAAACCCAAAGGGTCTTATTTTATTCGGGTGATCTTAACGCATGTACATATGTACGTACTGCAAACCGGGTCGGGGGTGGCCTTTAAAAGGCGTTTGACTTTTTATTAATTTCCCTGTTGACAGCAATTTGCAACGCTACACGAATTTGTTACCACCACAGAACACACATGCCAGGATATATGGCCGGGGGACGAGGTACGGGGTACGGGGGGTCAAAGGACATGGGCTGGGTGATACGAAGTTTTCGAAACGGCCCAAAAAACTTCCGCATGTCCTGATGGGTTAATAAATATTTGAGCACACAACACCCTCCTGCTATCCAGCTATCCTGCCATCCTGCTATCCTGCCCTTGATGTCCTTCGTGAATGTGTATTTTTATATTTACCGCTATTTCTGTAGAGCACTTACAGTGTTGTAAAACGTTGTACAAACCACAAAAAGGGTTGCTTCTTCGGTTCGGTTCGGTTGTTTGGTTTTCTGGTTACGAGTTAGTTGCCCATTTAAATGGAACAACTTCGAGTCCGTATGTCCGTATCCGTGTTGGGGGCAAGGTTATCCCTTTGGAAGGGATAACTGTTCACTGCCCGTTTTATGGCCAAATGAATTTTAGAGAAGTAAGCCCACATGATTCCCTGGGAAGGCACGAAATGGCCTGAAAATGTTGCCTGTAATTTGGTTGCGCAAGATACGGATATTGCTATTGATTGCCCGACCAGGTCAGAGGATGGTAAAGGCTCCACCAAGCTTGAGGATTTATTAGTTCAGCCATTATGGCCGAAATACTTGGCCAAAATTCACCGTTTTCATTAGCTAATAGCCACCTTTGAGGCCACGCCCACGCGGAATAATGTCTAATTAGAAGGGGGCTGAGGCAAGGAGGGAGGTAACCTGTTTGTGCGCAGCAGCAGTGCCGAGAAAAAGCACCTGCCTGGTCGTATAAATAAATTAAAGTGGCTATGGAGAGAGGCTCAAGTTTGGGGAACTAAGGAGGGAGAGGAGGAATGCAAAACGAGGGCTTGCGAAAAGGAAAATCGCACTAACTACCCAATTATTTCATTCAGGCTTCAGTGCCTCGCTGTCGAGGAAACAACACACACACTCAGCAGAGAGAGAGGCGAGACCTGCAGGTAAAAATCTAAGAAAGGAAAACGGAAAACAGGGGAAAATCAGCTTGAAAATCGAAATACAATACACAACTCTGGCGTCAAGTGGTTGGGTGGCACCGAGACTGCCGACAATGCCGACAATACCGACACTGCCGAGACTTCCGAGGATTTTCGAGGCGAGTAAGCAAATTTAAGCACAGTACAGCACAGCTCACAGAAAATCAATGGCAGTTGAGGGGATCCTGGGGGGATTGAATACCATAAAAAAAAGGAGCTAAATTGGAAAATAAGCGTAACACAAAACCCTAAGCGGAGCAGCCAAGGCCCGCGGCTCCACAATACCCCCACTTTACTTTCTTTTCCCAACAATTGTCATTGTCTGATTGTTGCACTCGCTAACTCGCTGTTTTTTCCATTTCCCGGAAGGATATTCAAGGAATAGAGTCAGGGAACTGCATTAATTGGCCAGTAGACCGCTTAAATCTTAGTAGAACCTTCTAACTTGTATAAGAAATTCAAAGAGATTAATAGAAAATTATAAAAAACCATGTCTTAAAAATAAATCCAAGGACTCAAAAGGACTTCCTTTGTTCTTCTGTAAAACTTTTTGGGAATTTCCAAAAACTTTCCTTTCTTGTTCTTCCAACCGTCTCCCTTCCTCTGCAGCCCATCGGCAGGCAGCCTCATCTCCCTTCCTCTGGCCGTCTCGCTTGCACACGTCCGCCATCTTGGAAAAACAAGGGGTCCTTCGTATTTATTACAACGGTAAAGCGGAAAGGAAAAGCAACAAAGCGAAATGCGAGCGCAAATCGAGTTAACGAGCTAACTGCGGGGCGTCCTAAACCCACCCACTTCCCCCCGAAAATAGTACTCCCCCCGCACCCTATCTATTGTCGCAAAAAACAAGCAACCACCCACAAAAATTGGGAGACAAACCGAAAAGCAACCCCAACAAAAAAGCCAGTCAGTTGCTTCGTTTTCGTAACAACTAACAACTTGTGCCACCCACCGAACCACCCACCCCGCCAGCTACACGTGCACCACACCCCCTGCCACACAGTCCTGCCTCTCCTTCCCCCCATTTGCCATTTTTCTTTGCCACTTTGCTTCTTCAACTTATTTACGTCTCCATTACAAATAATTGCGCGTCATATTGGCTCAGCTATACTTAGCTCTCGTCTCGCCAGACGAAAGCCACCCTTACACCACCCAGCCACCCAACCACCCAACCACCCCATCCACCACTGGCATCCCAAAGCTCCACTGTTGCCTTGGCTCAAATAAATACGCCTTTCATTTGGCAAAGCCACCCAAAAAGAAAAAAAAAAAGTCGAGGAAAAAATCAGCCATCCGCGGAATGGCCCCATTTTTCGCCTAGGAAACCGCCCCCGCCACCACCCACCCCACTCAGCTCCCTAGCAAGTGTAAGTAGTAAATACGCTCGAGTATTATTAACGTAAATGCAAAATTGCCAATTTCGAGTGTATTTCCTGTCAACAGAAATTCTCTTCTTTTTTTTTTTTTTTTCCGACAAGGTATTCAGCGAAAATAAAATTAAAAGCAAGGCGGAGTGAAGAGAAACGGTGGCAAGTAGCAGGAAGGGCGGTGGCAGGGAGGCAGGAGGCAGGGCTAGCTAGGGGGCGTCTTACAAAATATCACTTGGTGGGACCCGCGTGGCCCATCCACTAAATCGTCCAGCTACGCAATAGTACACTTTAAGAAATGGATACAAGAGTGTACTACCATAGGGGGTATTACCATAAAATTTTAATAAAATATTTAAAGTATAAAGAAGAGCTTGTAATAGTTTTTATAGTCTTAAACATAGACCAACACACCTGGTCGCCCTTAACTTTCAACCATTTTTCTGGCAGTGTATAAGCCCAGGACCCAGAGGCTGGCATAGATCCTGGCTGCCAATGCCAAATGGTGGTGCGCTGCCGGTGGTTGGTTGGCTTTTATTAATATGTCTGGCAATTTCAATTTGAGTTTATTGGTAATTTTACATTTGGTCTCTGTCTGTGTCTGTGTCTGTGTTAGTGTCTGTGTGGGGGGTCCCCGCGGGGCTGGTACGTCTGCCTTGCTACAAGCCGCATGCTACTTGGACGACTGCCATTTGTTAGAAGAGGAGTTCCAGGGAGTCTCGTCCATAAATCAGGCCCACAACCAGAAAGAGGGGTTGGGGTTGGGACTCAAAATTAAAGCCATAAATACACAGTCTTCTAGGTTTTTGGTGGTTCGAGTTGGTGGAGCACCCAAGAGGCAGAGAAAAGGTGGTGTCCAGAACCTGACCAATTAGTGGTTCCACCCATCTATAAATTGGCATATTATCGTGCCGCCTCGATGGGCAGTTAATTGAATTCATGGAATGCCGCACAAAACAAAAGCCATTCGATCAAAATATTGCTTAATTGAACAATTAATCGAACCACAAAGGGAGCAGCTACCTACCTACTGGCCGGTGGCCACTGTCCGAGGGGAAAGGACAAAGGACACGGTTCGGTTTCACTCGAACTACGAGGACATATCAAATTAATTTAGGCGGAAAACGAGCCAGCAAAGTCCGTCCACAAAATGGGATAAAGAAAATGGCAAAAAAAAAAAAAGAAAATAGAAGGAAAGCAGGAAAAACCCGAAGGAAAACCCCGGAAGGGGGAGAGGGCAAGACTCTGCAGAAAATATCGCATGACGGAAAATCAAGCAACTCATGCCCCGATGACTGGCCCGGGCAGCAAATTAAATTAGTTGACGAACCGCACAGAGAACTGAGTCGAGCTGGACCAGACCAGACCAGGACACTGAGAGAAATAAATGATAGAATTTTCAAAAAATAAAAATATATATACATATATATTAGGTTTCAAGCCACAGGTTCTTCAGAGAAAGTCCTATTTCAGCAAGGCAGTTAAGAGGCAGTTAGAGACCCCTAGTTTCTTTTCAGTGTATGACATCGATAGCCGGCCAAAGTGGCTGACCACTCACCTCACACCCCCTCCCCCCCCCCTCGCTGGCATCTATATGTATCATCATTATGGCTATTTATAAGTGTACGAGTGCTTTAAAAGCATTCTGCCAGGTTCTGACTTTGGCTCCGGATGACTCAGTGGCCAGAGGTCCAGTGGCTGTCCAGCTAATTGTTAATTGATGTGTGTCTAATTATGCCACCAAAGTGGCCAGGCAATAAAAGCACACAAGGACTAGCAGGACATTTTCAATAGTGACACGAAATGTTTCTAAAAATATAAAGAATCTAAAGGATTCTTTTTAATTGGCTTTGGACAGGAATATCCTTATCTTACAGGCATTATTATAATTTCATTGGCAAGGATAATGGATACATTATTGGTCAAAGAGAGAGGTATACTCGTATTACCATGTGCCTGCCTGCCTGAGCCAGGATGAACCTTTGCGGGAGAAGCAATCACAATAGAACGCCCTGGACGACACGCCTAAGCCGATTCCCGCCTAATTTGAAACCGACCGACACACAAAAAAAAGGGCTAAACCACTTAACACCCCAACACCCTAATTGTCAAAACAAAGACGGCACACGAAACCGCCTTTATCGTCCTTCGTCCTTCGTCCTGCATCCCTTTCCGCTCCGCTCTGCTCCTTCCAAGGAGGACCTGAAGCAAAGACAATATTTGTATTGCTGCCATGCATGCTCATAGTTTTCCCCCCGCCCCAAAAGACCATTTTCTGGGAAGGTGGAAAAAGGAGAAAAAAGGGAGTGAAACAGTTGGTAAGGAAGGAAACACGAAGGTTAACCCTTCGCTGACATTTGAATACAAATCCAGGCAACTTGTCAAAATCTGCGCGACATTCAATTGAATGGGCCCGGGACGTGGAGCGATTTTCCAGCTGCCAGGGTTATCGTGTGCGAAAAATCAACATTTTCGTTTTCGTTTCTATTTTTTTTTTTGCCAGCCGTGCTCGGAGTCGGCTCGGATGTCTACCAGAGAGTCCTTTGTCTGCCGCTTGCAAGGAAATAGAATTGTACTGCAAGGATTACGTGGGGGAAGGGGGCCATGTAAGGACATGTGTTTAAAGGCAGGCGCCATTCGAACAAAGGATCAACTATGATAGTACTAAGTAGGCTCCGTAGAGTTTGTCTTTTGGGGCTAGAACCTATCGAAAGGATATTCTACAACAACAATAAAAAATGACCAAAAAGGGTAATCTACAACTATATTTACCATTTCTATCCTCCGAAAAAAACACTAATCCTTTGCATTATCCTTATTCCCGCAGAACAAGCTGCCGCACGTGGCCAGGATTATGCCAGCAGCCTGGCGAACGCCAGCGGCGACGAGCAGTCGCCCAGCAAGGCCAGCAACTCGTCCGGAAACGGATCCGGTTCGGTGGGTAATGGAGCCGGTGGAGCGGCCGGGGCCGGTGGTGGAGCTGGGCAGGCCGGAACTAATGGCCTGGGCCACTTGGTGGCTTCGCCGCCGAGCAGCAACGGAGGCTCGGCCGCCGGAGGATCGTCATCGGGTGTAGGCTCCGGGTCGGGAGGTGGAGCGGCTGGTTCAGGGAGCTCTGGCTCCTCGGGCCCTGGCTCCGGCAATCCCGGCAGTCGTTCCTCGCCCGGCGGGGGTAATCCCCACCATGCCGCTCTGGCGGCCCACCAACATGCTGCTGCCGCTGCAGCAGCGGCCCATCATCATGCCGCAGCGGCCGCCGCCGCCCACCACGCCCACCATGCTCATGCCGCCCATGCTCACGCTCATGCCCATGCCCATGTGCACGCCCATGCCCACCACGCGGAGGCAGCCGCTTTCCTGGGCGCTGCCGGAGGACCGGGAGGAAACCCCGCCGGCCTGCTGGGCGCTCACGCTGGGGATGTCCTTGTGGGACCCGGTGGAGCCGGTCCCGGAGGCAAGAAGAAGAACAAGCGCCGCCACGGCAGGACTATCTTTACCAGCAGCCAGCTGGAGGAGCTGGAGAAGGCGTTCAAGGAGGCCCACTACCCGGATGTGAGTGCCAGAGAGCTGCTATCGATGAAGACTGGACTGGCCGAGGATCGGATTCAGGTAAGAACTCATTTCTGGATGATTAGGATGATAATTGGGAGCTAGGACTTAAGACTAGTATGAGTAAGAGGAAACTAGAGACTTGAGACTTTACAGGCCTGAGAACACTTCCCGGGAGTATAAATCAAATAGTCCTTTTTTAAGGACTCCTTTTTACGATCCCCAAGAATCACGTAGCGTTGCGGATTCGGTGGTTAAGATGGGGGATGCGCAGGTGGCACCATGCATTCTTTATGTCCTCCAATGGCTGGTGGGGATTTATGGCCATTTTTTATGGCCGCTCGTAAGGATTTCGCAATCAAAGGCAGGCTCTTCGATACCAAGGGGGCTTTCTAACCAAAAAAAAAAGGGGTGAACGAAGAAATGGAAATGGAAAATGGCAAGCTGTGCTGGGGGGGAGTGCAAGTGTTGCCACACTTCAGCGAGGGCCGCGTAATGAGGCCCGCCGATTACATAATTACAATTACAGTTACAAGTGCGGGCGGGCGAGTGCCGCAATTGCATTTGCAACAGAAACCTCCAAGCGGAGAAAGAAAACCCGCCGCATGAAGTAAGAAAACGTGGCAAGCGGCACTCGCCGACACTCAAAAAAATACAAAAAAAAGATTCGATACAATGGCAGCCGAGGTGTGAGATTCAAAAATGCAAATTAACGAAAAAGAAACACATTCTCCAAAGGATCAAAATGAGCTTAAAAGGAAAGGACACCCCATATAAACCCCTTAAAGGACTACAAGGTCTTCTAATATGAAGAGTTCTGAGCCGATATTCAGATAATATTTCACTAAAATAAGAGATAATAAGTAAGACTATGACTTCCAGAGAAATCTAAAGCTATTGGGGCTTCTTCTTATCAGAAGACTAAGCTCTTTATACACTTCTTATGTGCAGCATTGTTTCAAAATCCGGTAATCTCTCCTGGGGGATGTCCCCCAACACAAACTTCAACCATTTTGAGGGACCCACTCCCCTGAGGGGCTTTGTAACTCCTGCAATTGCATTATCCACTTGAAAAGCCGCAAGATGGCGCCACAGCCCATTGGATGGGCTACGAGTATGTGTGTGTGTGTGAGTGAGTGCATCCTGCTTTTTTGCAAAAATCAAATTAACAAGCACAATTGGCTGAAAGGCAAAAAAGCCAGAATGTGGGCTAGAGTGGGCGGGGACGGGCACGGAGCAGAGGGCGCCGTGGAAGAGATGGAAGAACTGAAGTAAACATAGAACGCACTCACACACACTCACACACACACAAACACACGGGCGACACAGGCACACTCTTCAATTAAGTGCAAATATGGCGCAGTGTGCTCACAGCTGGAAAAAGCCGCTCGAAAGGAGAGAGCGGAAGTGCGGCAGAGCGGTGCAGAGTGAGCGGAGATGGAGAGGCAATCATTAGCAGCACGATAAGGAAGTGGGCACAGAAGGAGGTGGGGCAATGGAAGAGGACCGAGAACCGAGGACCGGCAGCCATGCAAATTCAGACAAAAACAAAAACTGCATATCGAAGCCACCATTAAAAGTTCTCTCTCTCTCTCTCTCTCGCTCTACCTCTACGATTGTTTTCTGTGTGTGCTTTTTTGCCAGCCGCTTTTAATTGCATTCCATTTTGTGTGCATTTCTCCCCCATTTTTCGCCTTAAATTTTTTTTGTTGTTGTTTGTGTTTTTGTTTTCGCCAGCGCTATTTCTGCACGCCGAATTGAAGAAAAAGTAACATGGCAACCTCCGGCCCAAAAGCCAAAACATGTTTTCGGTCGCGCTCTCCCTTTTTGGCGTACACCGTTTCCCTCGCACACACACACACACACGCACGCCCCACTGGAAGCTGTGGCGCTGTCTCGCTCCGGTGGAGAGCTGGAAGCTGGCTGCCGAACTTGTTGTTGCTTCTGTCAGAAGTCAACGACCAGGCGACAAAAGCGTCGCATTCGGAAACCTGACCCCAGGCAATTAGTGATTATTGTTTAATTACTGATAAATTGGCGTTAAAAATTGGGAAAAAAATATCTACGAAATTGGATATTTGGAATTTAAAATGTTTTGCGTGGAAAGTCATTAAAGTTTATTATTTTAAATATATTAAAGTTTTTTTTCGTAGAGTCCTTTTCGTCGCCTGTGCAAAGGGCTGCGAGTGCGACAAGGACGAAGCTTAGAGCTCCAACTTGTCTGCATTGTTTGCCAATTCTTTCAATTGGCTCAGCCTTCTTTTCTACCTTTTGGCTTTCCCTTTACTTTCCCATGCCACCCATAAAAAAAGGGAACAAAGGACCGTTAAACATGCATTTAAGTAGCTTTCAAAAACAATGCAATTATGCATGCAAGTAAAGGGGTTATGTATGATCAAAGTATGCTTTCAAAAATGCATTAAATGCCAAAAAAAAAACAAAAAAGTGCACTCCACCGCATGTTGCAATTGTTCAAAAGCCCAAAAAAGTACAAGAAATCTTCACTGAGATCTCCACTTTTGATATCCATTTCCTTGGAACAACAAGGAGTGGCACATCCTCGAGAATCATTAAGAACAAATAGGATTTCAGGAAGCTAATAAGCCCTTTTCAAAGTGTACGTATAAGAGAGAAAAATGAAATTAAAATGCAGATTTTATGATAGTGTTTGCCGTGTATTTTATGAACCAGAAGATGGCAAATACTCACTAACCAACAATTGCAACAAATTGCTTGCACCATCTACCATATTTTTTGTGTGTTTGCATAATTTTAATCTTGCTCCTTGTTGGCAGCGCTTGCATTAATTATACACTTCTGCTGTTGCTTTTCTCCTGCGCTTTTAATGAGCTGTTAATATTAACGCACACACACACAAACACACACAAAGCAGGCAAAAAATGAAATTAAAAATGATTATGCATAATTATGTAATTAACATTTAAACAAAAGAGGTTATGGCTGGCAACAAAAGCATTTAACAAATTGCTATTTGCATTTGCATTTCGCTCTCGCTTTCCCCCACTCGGGGAATAGAGTTGTCGCACTTGTTAGCATTTTCAACTATTTGTGAATGCACACTGAGAGAATATGCTTAGCTATATTATAAACTATAAATATTTATATACATATTTTAAAAACATGACTTAACTAACAATAAAAATCCTTTTAACATTTTCATTTGGTATGGTATTTTGCAAATCACTCAAGCGAGTATAAATATTACTAAAAACCAGATTTAAACATAAACATAAAAAATATTCTTTAAAAGTAATGAACAAAGTAAGCACTTACATACAACATTACATGTAATCAACATGTAATCAAAGCATACGGGACTGTGGCATGGGGATGTTCGCTCTCCCCCCCTTCTTCTTCTTTGGTTTTTACACACAAGCCACATAAAAAAGACTTATAGTTCCTTATAAGCATTATCCTTTAATAAAGATAGATTTATTAATAAACTAATAATATATTTCAATTATTAAAAAAGGACGATCGCAATGTCCATCGGAAAGAGAAATAAGAGAAGAGAGAGAACAATGACAACAAACGGATGTCCTGAACTCCGCAAGCAAAAGAGAAAGGATGACCCGATCGCATTAATTTCAAAATTACTTTATTGAATATTGAATTTCACAAGTTATGTCTATTAGGATTAATTTAAAGCACTTACCATTGAAAAACTAGCCAAAGAAACAGTAGTTTTACTCAAAATTTAAAGTACCTTTGCTGCAGCGTTCTTTTAGGGGCAGGAGCTCCATCCTAATGGCGTCGGCTGTGGAGAAGAGAGCGAAAGGAGAGAGGGAGACTAACTACCGATACTAATACATATATCGATTACTTAATATCGCAATGATTTACCAATTAGGTTTTAGTTGCGATAGGTATTTAAATTAAATTAAATACAATAGATTTTAAAAAAGGATTCGTTTAGGAAAAATATTCTACAATATAAGAATATTAACAGTTCACAATAAATAGATAGCTTCCATAAGGTAATCTGGCTATAATTAGTGGAATATTATCACTAATGATAACCGGTATTATCTGGCCGTGTAAAAAACCGAACTAGGCGCACTTTAAAGAGTCATTTATCACGGCATTAGCAACAGTGATTGAGTTTGTCCGCCCAGCAGACAGTGCAGTGCGGCCTCAGTCACCCCACTGTACTGAGTACTGGGTGCTGTTGGGTCACAACCACCCCCTGGTCCCCTCGAGCATTAGAGATATTGTACCTCTGGACTAGGACACGGGATGGGATGGGATGGGGGAGGCAGGAGGGTTGGGTGGTGTTAAGTGTTGTCAACTCAAGCAGATTTAATTTGCCATGTTTTCACTTTGCTTTTTTCGTGTTGCTGTTCAAGTGCAACAATAAACAAGGCAAACAACTGTAAATGCAAATGTTGACATCACACCGACAAAATAAAATAAAACCAGGCGCATTTAAGAGAACCAACAAAAAAAAATAAAAAAAATAGAAATAGAAATAGAAAGGGGGGCGGAGCAAGGACGAGGCCGCGTGGCTCAGAATTTTAAAGTGATTTCCACAATTTGATGTGGTCCTTGGAGAATTGCGGCACATGTTGCAGTCAGTGCCCGAATCTGAATCTGAATTGGCAACCCTGGGAAAGTTTCAGCCCAAAAATGAAGCACTGAACTTTTCACAACAGAAGATTAAGTTGTCCCCGGGGAGGAGTCCTGTGAAATTGAAAATTGACCGTTTAATGTTGTTGGTCGAGTGTCGGCGGATGGCGGATGGTAACATTTTGTTAATGTTGTAATTGCTGGCGTTGTTGTTGTTGTTGTTGCCGCTAATAAGTACTTGAGATCTGAAATCTGAGGGTTGTGAAAATAAAATAATCGCAAGGATGCGTGACAAGTGTTGTCTGTTGTCGGAAAAAGGGGGAATCCTTCTAGTCCATTCATTTCCACTCCCCCTCTTTTTTTTTGGATTTAATTTAATTAGTTTTTGGTCGTTATTGTCCTTGGCTTTTCGAGTCCTAGCAGGATAATCTCATTTTGTAGTTAATTTCTTATTTTATTTGGTTTTTATGGAGCATTAGTTAGTTCGATAGTTAGTATTAATGATCCTCAATTAGGAAATCAAACATTATTTAACCTCTGCCTCTCGTTATCCTTTCAGGTCTGGTACCAGAACCGCAGGGCCAAGTGGCGCAAGACGGAAAAGTGCTGGGGCCACAGCACCAAGATGGCCGAGTACGGACTGTACGGCGCCATGGTCCGGCACTCGCTGCCGCTGCCGGAGACGATCATCAAGTCGGCCAAAGAGGACGAGTCGGTGGCCCCCTGGTTGCTGGGCATGCACAAGAAGTCCTTGGAGGCGGCCGAGCTGCTCAAGAGCGATGAGAGCGACCGCGAGACGCCCACCTCGGACGACACCAACACCAGCTACTCGGCGGGCAGTACCCACAACTCGCCCATCTCCAGCTTCTCGATCTCCCGACTGCTCTTCGACGCCCCCCCGCCGGGCGGCGCTGGAGGGAAGCCGCACCACAAGCACCACGCGGCTGCCCATCATGCCGCTGCTCATGCCCACATCGCTGCCGCCAATGCGGCAGCTGCTGCGGCCGCCGCTGCAGCACATCACCACCAGCACTTGCATGGCGGCGGCGGTGGTGCAGGAGGAGATAGTGCCCTCCAACAGCATCACGCGCAACAGCAGCAACAGCCGGGCTCGGGCTCCGGCTCTGGATCGGGCGGGCAGCAGGCCCATCACCCGTACAACCAGCAGCAGCACCTGCACCACCTGCAGCAGCTCCAGGCGCAGCAACAGCAGCACCAGCAGCAGCAACAACAGCAACAGCTCCAGGCACAGCAGCAGCAGCATCATCACCACCACCACCATCCGCTGCACCACCACATGCACCACCATGGGGCAGCCGGATACGCTGAGGCGGCCGTTGCCGCCGCCGTGGCTGCAGCAGCCAATGCCAGGAATGCTGCAGCCGCTGCAGCAGCAGCCGCCGTAACCATCGCCGAGTCCGAGCCAGATGAGGAGCAAGACGACCTTGAGGAGATGGACCTGGACAAGGAGGGCGAAGAGGCGGAGGGTGGTGGTGGCAGCCATGAGACGGATGCCGACGGCGACGGTGACGGAGAGATCGACATTTGCGATGACCACGACGAGGAGGTGCGCCTGCAGGAGCAGCTGCTGCTGAAGGTCAAGCAGGAGCAGGCCACCGCCAGCGGGGCCAGATGAAACATGTACATCGATGTGTTGTTCTAAAATGGATAATGGATTAATGGAGAATACAACGATTAGCCTGCAAGACCTTGCGATGAACTTGCGCACATTTTCTAAGAATCTAAGAGAAGGAAATTAAAATAAACTACAAACCTTACGTAATATTTAAACTTAAAGAAAAAGAAGAAGAAGAAGAAGAAGAAGTAATCGAGTAACGAACATTTTTTTGCATACACCTAAGGAGCACACAGAATATTATTAACTAAATACTATATAGGATATACCCTCGTTCGTCTCATTACTCTATATTTTTTTTTTTGGCCGTTTGTAAATATTAAATTACATTAAATTATAAAGATAGCACAAGAAACACACACACACACACTCACACACTCACTAGGGTCTAAGGAGCTGCTGCATCGATTTACAAAACAATTTTTAAAATATATATGCTAAATGTGATTTAATTTAGTTGTCGATTTCGAAAAAAAAGGCTTTTTATGGTTTAAGCTAATTTTTTTTTTTCATTTTTTTTTCGTGAGTCCTAACCTTAATGTAAAAATGTATATACCAATCCGAATCAACGCAATCTAATAATAATAATGGAACGAAGAAATATACAGATATAACCCTCAGTCCACTGCCTACATCGATATTATTTCTCTCTCCTTTCTAAGCATAACTCCAATATAATTCAGATTTCGAGGATCAGCATCGAAATGATAATGGCAATGTGTAATTAATACAACACACCCCCGATCCACACACATAACACATACTTATATATGAAAGTTAGATGAAATAAAATGGATGATATAAAAATAAGTGATACGTCTTTTTTGCTGTGGATAGTCGATGGAGCCGGGGGGGTCTACAGGAAGTCAATCTAATAATAGTTCCAGGTATTCCGCTCAATAATCGGATAACTACAATCAAAGATATGGGCTACGAAGTATCTATTGTCGGTTTCCCAGATTTTTCATGATTTTCAAGGAGGTCCAACAGAAAAATTAAAAAAAAAACAAAAAAGATTTTAATGCAGATTTGAAGAGAATTAATCCCTGATTCCATAAAGGTATCCCTTTTGAGAATCAGATAAATATTTCCCAAGTTATAGTCTTCCCAAGGGACCAAATTTGAGGACTTCCCATTTTTCCAAATTTTTAAGGGCATCCATCAGAAAAATTTGAAAAAAATCGAAAAAAATTATCTTTCTGGATGTTAATGTAGATTTGAATAGAATTCTTTCCTGATTCCAGTAAGGTATCCCGTTTGAGAATCGGATAAATACTTCCCAAGTTATAGTCTTCCCAAGATACCAAATTTGAGGACTTCCCATTTTTCCAAATTTTTAAGGGCATCCATCAGAAAAATTTGAAAAAATCGAAAAAAATTTAGCTTTTAGGATTTTAATGCAGATTTCAAGAGAATTAATCCCTGATTCCAGTAAGGTATCCCGTTTGAAAATCGGATAAATACTTCCCAAGTTATAGTCTTCCCAAGATACCAAATTTGAGGACTTCCCATTTTTCCAAATTTTTAAGGGCATCCATCAGAAAAATTTGAAAAAAATCGAAAAAAATTTAGCTTTTAGGATTTTAATGCAGATTTCAAGAGAATTAATCCCTGATTCCAGTAAGGTATCCCTTTTGAGAATCGGATAAATATTTCCCAAGTTATAGTCTTCCCAAGGGACCAAATTTGAGGACTTCCCATTTTTCCAAATTTTTAAGGGCATCCATCAGAAAAATTTGAAAAAAATCGAAAAAAATTATCTTTCTGGATGTTAATGTAGATTTGAAGAGAATTCTTTCCTGATTCCAGTAAGGTATCCCGTTTGAGAATCGGATAAATACTTCCCAAGTTATAGTCTTCCCAAGATACCAAATTTGAGGACTTCCCATTTTTCCAAATTTTTAAGGGCATCCATCAGAAAAATTTGAAAAAAATCGAAAAAAATTTAGCTTTTAGGATTTTAATGCAGATTTCAAGAGAATTAATCCCTGATTCCAGTAAGGTATCCCGTTTGAAAATCGGATAAATACTTCCCAAGTTATAGTCTTCCCAAGGGACCAAATTTGAGGACTTCCCATTTTTCCAAATTTTTAAGGGCATCCATCAGAAAAATTTGAAAAAAATCGAAAAAAATTTAGCTTTTAGGATTTTAATGCAGATTTCAAGAGAATTAATCCCTGATTCCAGTAAGGTATCCCTTTTGAGAATCGGATAAATATTTCCCAAGTTATAGTCTTCCCAAGGGACCAAATTTGAGGACTTCCCATTTTTCCAAATTTTTAAGGGCATCCATCAGAAAAATTTGAAAAAAATCGAAAAAAATTATCTTTCTGGATGTTAATGTAGATTTGAAGAGAATTCTTTCCTGATTCCAGTAAGGTATCCCGTTTGAGAATCGGATAAATACTTCCCAAGTTATAGTCTTCCCAAGATACCAAATTTGAGGACTCTCCATTTTTCCAAATTTTTAAGGAGATCCATCAGAAAAATTTGAAAAAAATCGAAAAAAATTTTACTTTTCGGATTAAAATGCAGATTTCAAGAGAATTATTCCCTGATTCCATACAGGTATCCCTTTTGAGGATCGGATAAATATTTCCCAAGTTATAGTCTTCCCAAGGGACCAAATTTGAGGACTTCCCATTTTTCCAAATTTTTAAGGGCATCCATCAGAAAAATTTGAAAAAAATCGAAAAAAATTATCTTTCTGGATGTTAATGTAGATTTGAAGAGAATTCTTTCCTGATTCCAGTAAGGTATCCCGTTTGAGAATCGGATAAATACTTCCCAAGTTATAGTCTTCCCAAGATACCAAATTTGAGGACTTCCCATTTTTCCAAATTTTTAAGGGCATCCATCAGAAAAATTTGAAAAAAATCGAAAAAAATTTAGCTTTTAGGATTTTAATGCAGATTTCAAGAGAATTAATCCCTGATTCCAGTAAGGTATCCCGTTTGAAAATCGGATAAATACTTCCCAAGTTATAGTCTTCCCAAGGGACCAAATTTGAGGACTTCCCATTTTTCCAAATTTTTAAGGGCATCCATCAGAAAAATTTGAAAAAAATCGAAAAAAATTTAGCTTTTAGGATTTTAATGCAGATTTCAAGAGAATTATTCCCTGATCCCAGTAAGGTATCCCTTTTGAGGATCGGATAAATATTTCCCAAGTTATAGTCTTCCCAAGGGACCAAATTTGAGGACTTCCCATTTTTCCAAATTTTTAAGGGCATCCATCAGAAAAATTTGAAAAAATCGAAAAAAATTATCTTTCTGGATGTTAATCTAGATTTGAAGAGAATTCTTTCCTGATTCCAGTAAGGTATCCCGTTTGAGAATCGGATAAATACTTCCCAAGTTATAGTCTTCCCAAGATACCAAATTTGAGGACTCTCCATTTTTCCAAATTTTTAAGGAGATCCATCAGAAAAATTTGAAAAAAATCGAAAAAAATTTTACTTTTCGGATTAAAATGCAGATTTCAAGAGAATTATTCCCTGATTCCATACAGGTATCCCTTTTGAGGATCGGATAAATATTTCCCATGTTATTGGGACAAGAGGCCATTACAGGGGGCCAAAGAAGCCATTTTTCTGATTTTGGATTTTGGATTTGAATCCATATCTATATCTATATCTCCATATCGACTTACATGGAACCTGTACGTTACATTGCCGTGTTAATCCTATTACATACATCTATGAAGAGTACATGTCAAGAAAAAGAACGTTTCTCCGTAGAAATAATCATGTAATAATGGAGGTAAATATTAATTACATGCCATGTAACCATGTAAAAGTGTCTACAAATGTCGAGAGTATAACAGTACCCGCAGGGTATCTGGCAACCCCAGACGAAGAGGTTTCTGTAAACTGAAATATAGATGACGCTGGCGGGAAATCTAAAAATAAATCCTCAATTTGAAAAATAAATATATAGCTACGATTTTTTAAAAACTTGTTTTAATTTAGGCGAAAAGTTGGCCTGGTGGCTCCAAAAGTCAACGAGGTTGTGTTTCTGAGAGCTGGGAAATCACAAAACATTCAAACTTCAACCCGTAAAGATCGTTCCGAGAGCTAAAAAATCGAAAATTAATATATTTTTTTTTCGATTTTCAGATTTCGGACTAGTTAGTGCTACAATGGAAGACTACGATATTATGCGTGTGAGTCCACCACGTGCCGGGAAGTCTATACGGGTTTGCTTTTTGAGGAATGGGAATCCCCACTTCCAGGGCGTCTGCCTAGACTTGAGCCGCTGCCGTTTCAAGGATTTCGAGTCGCTCCTGGAGGGTATCACTCAAGCTCTTAGTAAGTATGTTAACCTTAGGTCGTCGATTACCCACTTCTGGGGCGTTGACGGGACCCCGTTCACCACCATGTTGAGCTTCAAGGAAGGAGATGTTGTTATTTGTTGTTGTGAATACGAGACTGTGATCCGGGTTTGTTACCATGTTAATCCGGAATTTCTACGCCTGAACAATATGCGAGAACGCTGGGAACTGAATCGAATTAAAAATGGATTCGCTATGAAGCCCGTTCAGAAGCAAGATTTACCCGTGGCTATAAAACGTCAAATGATTAATATAAGGCTGCTGCTTCAGACGGAGAAGACTGCTATCTTTCGGGGCAAATGCCTCACTGATGGAATCACTCCCTTCATAGTCAAGGTGGTCGATAAGGAAGTAAGGTCTAGGATCTAGAAATGGTAAGCAAGCATTAATGGTTTCCTCCTTTTTCAGATCATGAGGACAAACTGCGAGGATACGTTCCGGGAGACCCAGATGATGGGGAAACTAAAGTCGCACAAGAACATCCTGGGACTCGTCTACACCATCGAAAGAAGCAGTCTTATATATATCCTAATGGAAAGTCTAGATTTCGACCTGGAAGTAGTAATCGATAATTGCAGACGAGTCTGCAAAACGAACGCCAAGGCTGTGATCTCGGCAATAGCCTCTGGCCTGATCTTCATGAAACGCCGCAGAATCATCCATCGTGATATCAAACCGGGAAACATCTTCATCCGCTCCAACGGCGAAGTCAACGGTGAGGACGGCTGGCCTGTCTTAAATTCCATTAAAATCGCGGATTTTGGAATGTCCATTCCATTTCGGGGCAACAAGCTCCACACCTGCTGCGGCACCACACCTTACATAGCGCCGGAAATGATCTCACAGTCGGGCTATGACTACAGGGTGGATTTGTGGTCCTTTGGCATCTCTATCTACCAGATGTTCTTCCGTCGCCGTCCCTTCGACAAATCCGCATCCGACGACCAAAGGGAGATATACAACAACATTATGTACGCAGAGCTCCGCTACCCCATCGACTGGTCCAAGAGCACCAATAAGGAGGGCAGGGAACTGATCAATGCGCTTCTAGAGAGGAATCCGGTGCGCAGACTGACTGCCCGTGGCGTCAAACAGCACCCGTATATGACCTCTTCGTAGGATTCAGTTTCAAATTTTGTTCGTTAGTTACCAGAAGACACTTGGACATCCAGAAGGACCCGTATATGACCTCTTTGGAGAATTAAGTTTAAAAATTTCGTTCGTTAGTTACCAGAAGACACTTGGACATCCAGAAGAAAACGTAATTGACCTCTTTGGAGAATTAGGTTTAAAAATTTCGTTCGTTAGTTACCAGAAGACACTTGGACATCCAGAAGAAGACGTACATGACCTCTTTGGAGCATAATGTTTAAAATTTCGTTCGTTAGTTACCAGAAGACACTTGGACATCCAGAAGAAAACGTAATTGACCTCTTTGGAGAATTAAGTTTAAAAATTTCGTTCGTTAGTTACCAGAAGACACTTGGACATCCAGAAGAAAACGTACATGACCTCTTTGGAGAATTAAGTTTAAAAATTTCGTTCGTTAGTTACCAGAAGACACTTGGACATCCAGAAGGACCCGTATATGACCTCTTTGGATCATAATGTTTAAAAATTTCGTTCGTTAGTTACCAGAAGACACTTGGACATCCAGAAGAAAACGTAATTGACCTCTTTGGAGAATTAAGTTTAAAAATTTCGTTCGTTAGTTACCAGAAGACACTTGGACATCCAGAAGAAAACGTACATGACCTCTTTGGAGCATAATGTTTAAAAATTTCGTTCGTTTGTTACCAGAAGACACTTGGACATCCAGAAGAAAACGTACATGACCTCTTTGGAAAATTGAGTTCAAAACTGGCAGGAGACTGATCGATGCGCTTCTAGAGAGGAACCTGGCGCGAGAGAACCTGGCTAGGAGATTTCCCGTGGCATCGAAAAGCACCTGTACATGACCTCTTCGGAGGATTAAGTTTAAAAATTTCGTTCGTTAGTTACCAGAAGACACTTGGACATCCAGAAGAAAACGTAATTGACCTCTTTGGAGAATCAAGTTTAAAAATTTCGTTCGTTAGTTACCAGAAGACACTTGGACATCCAGAAGAAAACGTACATGACCTCTTTGGAGAATTAAGTTAAAAAATGATTAAAAACTGGCAGGAGACTGATTGTTGCGCTTCTTCAAATATTAAACTCCAATAAGCCAGCCTAGATCTGATAGTTTCATTTACAAAAAAATATTAAACTCCAATAAGCCACTCAAACTCTAATTGTTTCATTTTAAAAATAAAATAAATAAAATATACGCATTTCCCATAATACTTTCTACTTTATTGAGTCGCACACACATGCAATTCCAGTTTCTTAGCCAAAGTGGACCAACTAGGGAGATCCCTCGGAGAAGGAGCGGTGGCCACGCACTCGAGGTGTAATAAAAGATGAGTATTTGAGACACCGCGCCTTCTCCGAGCAGACAGAGGCAGAGACAGGGGTATGGGTGCGGTAAATTCGACAAACATCGGAACACAGAACACAGCTTTAGCAAATATGTTTAGAACGTAGATTTTGTATTGGTATAATTAACATCGAAATATCTAGGATACCCTAGTATCCAAAGCTTAGACAGGACAGACAATTTAACACACTGGGGAGCATTGGGACGGGGACTTGGTTGGCGTCGCCTAATCGCTCAGTCAGTACGATACACATACAAGATATACATATATATATATATATGGTATATAGATATAAAATTAACTAATTGATTTATAAAAGCAATCGAAACTCCAATCGAGCGCCTTGCCTTGCAGCTCCCTTTCGCTCCAAGTCGCTTGGCTGTTTCCGTTATTAGTTGTTGCAGTTGCAGTTGCAGTTGGTGTCTTTGATTTGAATCATATGGTGTTTTCCTGTTTCCTAGGCGCGAGATGTGGGGAATGAGATAGATACACGGGACAATTGACCTGACCCGGCCGCCTAGGTGAAGCTGCAGCACGAGTTAGTCTTTTTCGCCGTCTTATAGAAGGCCTTGCTCTGCAGCGAAAGCTTCTCCGACTTGTCAACCATGTCGTCCAGCTTCTCGCCCCTGTCCAGCACCGCCTCGATGGTGTTCTTCAGGATGATTTTTGTTTCGTCCAGATCGTTTTGCATTTTTGTGAGCGGATCGGCCTCAACTGGATTCTGGTAGCGGGCCAGGAACGCCGGCAGCAAGTCGAACGCGATGGTGGCCTCCGTACCCTGGGGCCATTGGTCGGCCGGCACCTTGGCCGCGAAGTCGTCCAGTATCTTGGTCAGCAGCGTATGCGCCACCCGCTGGGGATACTCATGGTCGGCTATCAGGACGCCCGAAAGGTTGTCGGCACGCACATAGACATAGCAGATGTAGGCATCCTGTTTCACCAACTGCCGCTGCGTCGGCTGAGTACGCTCCACAATCGTCTTGGAGGCAAAGCTGTGGGAGATAACAAGGGGGTGGAGTAGGTGGTGGAGGTGCCGAAGGGTCAACTCAATGAGCCTGCGCATGCAGTCGTCACACTCACGTCATGAACTCGTTGACAGTGCCACGTTGGAAAAAGGAAAAGGACTGCAGGTCGGACGTCGTCTTCAACAGGCGCGCCTCGGTGGCGCCCTTGTGAAAGATGCTGAGTGCGAACAGCTTGACCATTTTACGGCGGAGTAGATCTGCGGGCTGCGGTGCGGGTTGCGAAACTAATCGGATGTACTGCTCTGTGCTGCTGCTGCTCCTGCTCCAGCGATGCTCCGGCGGGTGGGTTCCAGTTCAGGCGCTATCTTACATGGGCTGAAAGGCGATCGCTCGGTTTGTTTAACACTGATGGCTGCAAATCCAAATCCAATCCGTGCTATCTTTGTATATGTATGTGATGTGTGTCAGCTTATTGGAGATGGTACGCGACTAGAGGTACGCCTATCGGAGCCATGGCCATGTCGTCTATCGGTCATGTGATATTTCGATAAATATTAAAAAATTATTAAACATATTATTATTGGTTTTCTTATATATTTTAAATCGTATTATTTTATTCTTAATGTTTGCTATTATTTTAATAAAAGCTTTACACACAACTTAATTATTCAATATTCTTTATTAAAACTATCGCACACTATCGCAAGTCCAATCAACTTCGAAACCAGTGTTGTCAGCGTTGGTATCAGTGTTGGAAAATAACGGGACATGGCGGTTTTCTTCCTGTGCTTTTCGAACTCGAATGCCAAGAATTCCCCCTTTTGAAAAGTTTGTTCGCAGAGCAGTACTCGTTTCCGGCGAAGACAATTTGGTGATTTTTTGGTTATAAGTTTAACAAAATGGAGCGTCAGTCGAAGCTTTTGCGTTTGGTGGAAATGAATTCTACTATGACGAATTTTAACACCGTGGCCTTGATCGTGTCGAAGAACACGCCGAATTACTTCACCGACAAGACGGACGGTTCGCAACGTGGTGTTCTGACTCTCACCATTCGGGATGGATTGTTTCATTACACCAACTGTAAGTTGTGGGGAAAGGTAGCCTGGGTGCAGGACTACGTGACCAGGCTGCAGATCGGCGAGGTGGTGCTTATAAGCAACGCAAAGGTTATGGATCAGGCTTCGGAAAGCAGCTCCTCCGACGCGTCTCGTGAACACCGTTACGACCCGAAGAGCAGCCTCAATTGCGCCCTGGCCATCAATGAAGGGCATGGAAGTGTGGAGCATTACGTGCCCCACGTGTCCGACGATTTCGGCCATTTTTATGCCCTCGAGCACATGCTGCACCGTCCCCTGAAGAGCATGGTGTACGCTTCAAAACTGATGGATGTTATTTCCCGCTTTGTTTCTGAGAACAAGGTGCATTTCGTAGAAGTTGTGGTGGTTGTGGCTGTAGTGCGTCCACTGCGCAAGGTGAAGGTCGCTGATTCTCACCACTCGTACGCCCAGCCAAACATTCTAGACTGCCTCGAGGTGGTGGTCTCCGATCCCACCCACCCGGAAGGCATGTTGCTGACCATCTGGCAGGAGGACTGGATCCAGCGCGGTCAGAAGTGGAAGCCGCTCCAAACCGTACTCCACCTGGTGGACGTGAAGGCCTCCTACTCGATGTACCATAAGTTTCCGACCTTCTCTCATGTCAGCTGCACGCTGATTACCGAGGATCCGCATCCTCCCACCGCAGAGGTCAATCACATGATGGAGTTTGCAGCATCACTGAAGTTCTACAGCTTCGAGAATCTCGCCATACCGGAGATAATGTGTTCACTGCCGTATCGTGAGTATCTCATTGTAGTAACGAAGCTCCTCAATTGTCTTACCAATTCCATTCCTGTTCCATCTCGCAGCGGAAAACATAACCGAAGTCATGAACGTCAAGACGATCTACGCCCGGAGCAAGGGATTTCTCCAGAACCCAATGGCTCTCACCTTCACTGCCAAGCTGATAGCCTTGATCAGCTCTCTTGACCTGGACGGATTCTCTTCCACCATCACCCGTCAATGGTGAGTACTGCTAGATAGATCATAAAATAGATCATATAATGAGAGTATCTCCCCTTTCAGCGCCATGTGTCACCGATTCGTTCCCCGGTGCCTGATCCATTGCCCCACCGAGGAGTGCCAGTTATTTTCGGACGAGACCGACACTGCTCCCTGGCTCTACCACTTCAACATTACCGTACACTTTAGCGACCAGTCGGGCACCCTGGTGGAAGGACGCCTGGCGGGCTTGGCGGCCGAGCGGGTGCTGGGCGTCTCCGCCGCCGACTTTGTGAAGATGTCCGAACGAGAGAAAGGGCTTCTTAAGTGGAAGTTCCTGCTGCGTCACTTCGAGGTCAAGCTTCTGGTCCTAAAACCGATACGCATGCGCAACAACATGATTGCGGTGGTTGTGGACATGCATGAGGTGCCGCTGGAGGACTAATAATCATACATAATCATATATCATATATATAAGTACACAAAGAGCGATCTTTATTTCGCAAATTCTCACATAAAATATTACAACTTTTGAATACACAAATAGACTTGTAGTAAGCTGCCGGGAGATGTGGTCTCTGGGTTTGGCTGATGTGGAGGATGAGAAAACCAACTGAGTGCCTCTAGAATAACATTACAAGTCTGTTATACTAAGATCTTCAGAAACTTTAACGAATAAAGAAACAATAAAAACAACATAGGCTTTAACATTTTATTAAATTGGAAATAAAGGTTTGTATAACAATAAGAAATTAAAACACGATTAATTTAATTAAATTATAACCCTGAATGCAAGAGCTCACAAGATACAAATACTTAATTAAAAAAAAAACAACAATCCTGATTAAAACACAACAATACTTAAAATAGCACTTGGGGGAGGACTACTACTAGGTTGTGACTGGCTAGCCTGGCTGCGAAACTGTCCTATGGCCGTGACTAATCTCTCCGCATCGTTCGGTCGGTCGGTCGGTCATCTTCATCGCGGAATGGATCTTAAAAACTGGGCGCCGTTTGGGGGGGTGGCCATTATAATCTACAACTATAAGTCAATCAAAGCCGAGTGTGGTCACAGAGTTCACTATACGAGTATATATAAATAACGATTTGGTACAACGCTTAATACTGGCCTACATACAGATACACAGAATATGTACAGACATATACACATACATATACATAAACAGAAAGAACAAAGGACATTCGACAGATGGACAATGGACAGTGGTCTACTATGAGTGCGGTGTCCTACGAATTAGAGCAGTGCAGAGCATCCGTCCCTGTCTGCCTGTCCACCGTCTAGAGGGGGAGAGAGCATCCAACGTCGATGAAAGCCAACACAACGGATTACGGTAATGGGTAACACTTCCAAGACTAACAAGAAACGAAAACAACAGGAGCAGGCAGGCAGGCGGGAGGCCTACTTGGAGCCTCCCCCCGGCGCGTGGTGGTGCGGGTGATGGTGTGGCTGGTGGTGGGCTGCTGCATGGTGGTAGTGTGACTGTTGGTGCGAGGATCCTCCGGCGGCGGTGGATCCCACACCTCCGCCGCCGCCCCCGGCGCCGGTCAGCGAGACTCCTCCGCCGCCACCGGCTGCCATCGCAGCGCCCTGGTGATGATGGTTCTGGCCCCCGGCACTGGCCGAGGTATTGCCGGCGCTGCTGTGGTTCAGCGAGGGCATTGTGGCGGCCGCCGTGGCCGCGGCCAGGGCTGCTGCCGCCGAAGCAGCCGCCGCCCCGGCAGTGGCGGTGTTCAGCTTGGTGCCATTGGAGTTGTTGTTGTTCACCCGCAGCTGGCGGATCTCCGGGAAAAATTCGATCATCAAGATCTCCAGCAGCTCCTAGAGAAAGAAATAGGAGTTCAAGAGGTCTCATGAGGATAACCGGAGGAAGGACTCACGTAGAAAAGCTGCTTGTTGTAGGCGGGATTCTGGAGGGCCTCGAATACCTTGAGGACTCCTTTCTTTGCGGCCTGGGCGCCCACGAGGTTGCACAGCACCTCCGGGATGTGGTCGGTGAGCAGGGCCTTGGCCGCGGTGGCGGTCATTTCGCGCATATCCTCCGAGCGAGTCGGATAGGCGCTGGCCAGGACGCCGCCCGGCCAGAAGGACTTGAGGATCGCCGAGAAGTAGTTGTGCAGCATAGACTCCTCGAAGAGGTAGGCCACCGACTCGCGAATCTGCCGGTTAATCGTCCGGCCGTACGTGATCTGGACAAAGGAGATGAGGCTCTTGCGCAGCCACTTGAAGACGCCGCCCATGTCGAAGATCTCGCCCATCAGCGCGTACATCGGCTCCGCAATGGAGTCCTTGCTGTCCAGGTCGGCGGCCAGCAGCTTCGCCTCGCCCCCGGACTCTCCGTCCAGGTACGTGGATATGTCTTCGTCGTCGCGCTGCAGCCCCCAGAAGGGATCGGTGGCCCGGCTGGCGGCCTCGTGGCTGGCCTTTCCGCCGTCGCTCCGGAAGAGGGTGGCCAGCGAGAACTTGCTCTTCTTGGGCGACGGCAGCGACTGCTTGAGGTGGTCCGAGCTGGGGCTCAGGAACGTATAGATGGCCTCGCTTCCGTTCAGGTGGTCATCCTCCAGAATGAACTGGATGCGAGGGAGCTCAAGATTAGATGGAAGTTCGAAAGGAAAAGGGATAGCACTTACGTTGAGAAACTTCTGGATCTGCGCCTTGGCTTTGTCCTGGCCATGGCGGTCGGTCTTCAGGAAGAAGAACTTGAAGTTCGTGGGCAGGTCGAGGGCCTTCAGGTTGGAGCTCACGTGCCGCAGCTTGCGTTGCAGCTCCTGGAAAAAGCATAGAGATTAGAAAGGATCTTCCAGGGACAGAGGATGAAGGAATACCCACATGTACTTGGTTGAGGGAGCGCATCACCACCCAGCCGCTGGATATGCCCGACGGACGCTTGCGCAGATTAGCAGCCACGTGACCTGGTTCTCCGTTCTTGGATGACGTTGGCTGGGGCGGAGCATTGATATCCTCGTCCACATGCACCAGGATCATGAACTGCAGGGACTCTTCGTCGGAAACCTGAAAGAGTATCCCACTTAATGGACGGTTTCTTCCCAACTAGACACTACATTACCTCCACACTCTGAATGGTCGCCTTCCACTTGCCCAGGTGCTCCGTCCAGGCGTCCGTGCGCCGCAGATGCGCCTCCGTCTGGCGCTTCTCGCTCTTCAGCCACTCCATCTCCTTCTCGAGAATGGACAGGACCTTGGACTCGGGCTTCACCGAGTACTTGAGGGCGTCCAGCGCCTGGTTTTTCTTGTCGATGCGCTCCTGGATCTGCTCCAGCTTCCGGCGGGCGTACGAAGTGTGGGCCGCCACGTCTATAGCTCCTCCACCTGCCCCGGCACCGCCTCCGGCCATTCCCGTGCCGTTCACTCCATCCAGACCAGCCGAGCAGTGCTCGTCAGCCAGCTGATCCGAGGATTCGCCCGTGGGGCACATCAGCAGGGTGGGATCGGCAATCTCGTTGGAGTCGAGGGCCTCCTTCAACTGGCGGTACTGATCGCTCAGCACGAACGGCGGGTAGTACTTCTCCTCCAGGGTGCGCAGGACGTTGCGCTGAATGTCGTAGAAGATGTCCGGGTCGGCGTCGCCCAGCAGGAACGTTTCGATCAGCTTTCGCTCGTGGCGATCGATCTGGATCTCGGACTTGGGCACCCGGATATAAGTGTAGAAGATCTCGGTGGCCAGCTGGTGGCTGGCCGACTTGTGCGCGTGCTTGATCTCCTCCACGGCCAGGTAGAAGCCGATCAGGGCGCTCGCCTTAAGCGGCTCCAGGAACAGGGTGAAGTAGCGTCGGCCCACCGCCGTGTTGAGGATCTCCACCAGCGTCAGGTCGACGTCACTGGAGTAGTTGCCATTCCAGCCGTACTTGGCCAGGTTCTTCTCGCACTCGGCCTTGGCGGTCGTCAGCTGGCGGACGTAGCGCTTCAGCCGGACGGCGGCGGTCAGCTCCGCCTTGGAGAGCGAATGGTCCTCGTGGTCGGGGTCCAGGCCCTTGGCACGCTGCAGGTTCTGCATGGTGGTGGCGTGCATCAGGTCGTTCACGATGCTCTTGCGGATCAGCGAGAGGTCCTCCAGGCTGCCCGAGCTGTTGATGATCTTGAGGAAGTCCTCGAAGCTGGCCGCATACTCGTAGCTCCGCTTGCTCATCGCCGCCGCCGCCAGTCGCGTCTCTATGTTCTGGACTACCTTCTGGTTGATGTAGTCCGGTGCGGTCAGCATCTTGATCATGGGAAAGAAGACTGAAAGGATGGGGATGTTATCAGAGGCTTCAGGTTGGCGAGGCTGTCAGAGACTTACTCTTGTAGGAGAGGATCTCGCTCAGGAGGACCTTCAGCGGGGGCAGCGAGTAGCCGCGGGGCAGCAGCAGGATCACCATAATCTCGCACAGCTTGCGTAGGAACTCCATCTCCATCTCCTCGTCGGCCAGGTAGCTGTTGGTGCTGAAAACCGGCATCGTGTTGGTCTCCGCCCTGCCAAAACAAAGTTCGTATCAATGGACTATTTCTGGAGGGGAATTAATAAACAAAGAGGGTCAGTCCGATATAATCCGATCTAGCTGGGATAAGATAAGCTAATCCGATCCTCCCTCTTTGTTTTTGTAATTTTTAAATTAAAATTATCTCCGATTCTGATAAGCGTTTTGGGGGGGCAAGTGCTCTGTGGGATGAACCTACGCTCTGGCCTCCGCTATGCGTATCTTCTCCAGGTGCACCGTCACCCGGTTGACCATGTCCACGGCTATAATCTTGGCAGCATCCATTTTGGTGGCCCGCTCGTGTATCTTCTGAATGGCGTTCCACAGATCCTCGCGCACCACATCGTTTATCAGCTTGGGCTTCGTGACCACGTATCTGGGAACAGAGGGGATTTAGTGGGAGGCAGAGGTCAGACAGTCAGACAGGTCACTCACCCCAGCCAGGGTAGCATGAAGTCGCGCAGCACATACTCGATGATCTGCTGGAGCTGCAGGTCCACCGTCTTACCGAAGATGAGCGGTAGGTTCGATGGGTTCTTAATGGGCTTCGGCAGGTCGAAGATGTTGCACCTGGAAGAGGGAAGTCATGGATCAGGTGGCCAGTGACAAAGTCCGGGTGGCATATACTCACTTGGTGGCATTGTAGAGCAGGCGCGAGGGCACGCGACTCGGGCGCGTCGGCTCGTTGGTGGTGAATATATAATGGATATAGACGGTGCCGGCCACAGCTGTCGGGTGAGATAAGGGCAATTAGATTTACTTTTGGACTTTTAATTAGACGCGGCCAAGTGGTGATTGGGGCAGTGATTTGCCACTGATAGTGACTCATCCGAGTGCTCAATCCCCGGCCAGGCCGCGGCTCCACCCTCTTCTTACCCGCAACCACCAGCACCAGGGAATAGACGACGAAGGCGAAGAACAGAAAGAAGGTCGGATAATACCAGATGACGGCCAAGAGTGTCAGCGTGATTCCGGAAATGATAATCCTCCAGTTAAGCTGCAGTGCACGTAGCAGGCTGGAATGGAAGCGTAATGGAATGCATGATAAAAATTAATAACATGTGGCATGTTTCAGATAATGTCTCCCTAAATTTTAATTGTTATCTCGCGCCCTAAATGGCCACCTCATCATGAGTCTCCTTGCTGGTCTCCTCTCTGCATTTCTTGTGAGGATTTCTAGGCCTGACGTTTTGTCCATGTCGTTCCATTAATAAACCCCTGACATTGGACCTTGGGAAACACAGGTGACAATCAAAGGCCAGCTGGCAGATGGCCTACGCCCATCCCCATCCACCCACTTACCGTGTGGCCAGGAGCGTTAGGCGCTGTGTGGGCGTCATCGGCGGCTCCGGTTCGATGGGAAAGAGGGGCAGGCGACGGCGCGGCTCGTGGTCGCCGCCGTCGTCGTCGTTGTGGCGGTCGTGCTCCATTGTGTCCAGTGCGTGGTCCGAACTCCGGTGACAACTGCTCTCTCCGGTATCCGGGGCCCGAATCCGAAACGTTCTACGTCGTATCAATACTGCTTCTGCTGAATTTTTGATGAGTTTCAAACATTTTCGACAGCTTTCAGCGGCTCAAGTGCGTCGCTTGCTTGTTGGTTTTGGTTATGGGTTTGGTTTTTTTTGGGTTTGGACTTCTAACTGGGTACTGTTGGGTACTGGGCCCATTAAAAATAGTTCCCAGCAATTGCGTCAATTCCCCGCCGACCCTCCGTCCATTCGTTCCGACCGCTCTCCGCTTTCCACTTCCGTAAACACCCCCCGAACGGCGCAAGAAAAGGGAAACCGTGAACGTAAACGAAAACGAAAACTGGCAACTGGCAATGGGCAATGGGCAATGGTCAATGGGCAACTGGCAAGTGAAACCCGAACAAGGAACACAAATATGGTATGGAATCTATCTATATGCGATACGAAACAATTCCACCGATCAATTGACGCGTACGGCCGGAGCAGACGCTGTATATTAAATCAATAACTGGCAACAAGTTGATTGATACTGCTGCCTGCTGCCTGCTGCTCCTCCGATGGCTGCGATTTATCCGATCCGATTCCCGGAGCTCTGTTTGGAGGCCCCGAGTGTGACGCCGTCGTTTCCACAAAATCAAAACAAGAGACTCTGATTACACCAGTACATATTCGCCAGTATAGCTCTCTCCTCCTCCTCCTCCGCTCTCTCTTCCTTTTCCGCTTCCTCTCCTTGGTGCTCAAGATTCTGGTTTACTGCGCCTCCTCCGGGCTATGTCGGGCTGATTTGTTGTTGTTATCGCTGCTGCTGCGCACTTTAGGGTTCTGCCAGTGATACCGGCGCTCCCGAATCCGTAATACGTTCCCTAAACCGGGTATCCCAGGGCCCGCCAACTATCTTTTCTGTTATGATTTCTGCGGAAAATTGTCTCTTCGGCTGGTGGGCGAGCGGGGATGCGGGTGGGGGGTGAGGGTGTGGGGCGTCACTATCGATAGTTCATCGGTTATATCGATTACTCGGGTTATGTCAACCGTTATTTTTAAACCAATGATGAAACATAAGGAACTTAAAAAATAAACTATTTAAATGTAAAGAATTTAATTTAAATTTAAATAAAATAATTAAATACTAGGAAAATAGTTTTTTTTTTCAAACAAACTTTATCTTCTCTCTGATATGCTTGTTTACTTAAGAAAACCCAAGAACCTCTAGACGGAGGAAGAAAACAAACACATTTCCACAAACAAGTACCTGGATATGTATACATTGTGCCCATATCCAGGTGTTTGTACACTTTATTCAATTGCTTGTCAGCCGAGGCAACAGTTTTGCGAATTTCCAATGTTTTAGTGACAATAACTAGACCTAGTTTATTGGGAAAGTATTTGGTATCTCAAGCTTTCGGCTTTTGTTCGTTCATATGACACGTTATATGACATAAACTATGACTAGCCAGTTTCCCCCACCCGACTCCCGCCTCGAAACTAAATGCCATTCTGCTGGGAATGATGTGGGCCTACTGCTCCTTGGCCAGGCGGCGCAGAGCACGCTTCCGTGTGCCCAGGATGTTCTTCAGTACCAGATTGCGGGCGAACTGGTCGCCAAAGACCGCCTCCGTGAAGTGAATGATGAGCTGGAGCAGGGCGTGGGGCAGGTAACCCGCCGTCTGGTTGGCAATGCCCAGGGTGGAGAGAGCGGAACGCACATAGGTTTCCGGCGAGGGAGCAAACACGCTGGCCTTGCGGATCTTCGACATGTTGGTGGCCACGAAGCCGGGCTGCACGCTCTGGATCAGAATGCCGTGCTCCTTGTACTCCGTCTGTAGGTCATCGCTGAACTTGTTCACAAAAGCCTGACGGTGAAGAGTTCAAAATTAATAACTAGCGGTAGGATTAGAATTCCAAAGACCCACCTTCGTGGAGCTGTACACGCTCAGCAGAGGATTGGGAATGACTCCTGCGGTGGACGACAGGTTGATGATCACTCCCTTGCGCTTGGCAATCATGCCCGGCAGGAACAGGGCGCTCATGTGGGTCACCGAGTGGATATTGGCAGCCACAATGTTGCGCAGGAACTGCGGATCAGCGTTGTAGCAGTCCAGGAAGTACTCCGGGTGGCTGTAGCTAATGCCCACGTTGTTGACCAGAACGCCGATGTCCAGGCCGGTGGTCTTGTCCTTAATCTTGTCGTAGATCTCGGCGCCGCCGGTGAAATCCACATCGATCACTCGCACCTCCACGCCATACTTGTCCCCTGAAAGTATGCCGTGATCAGTAAGTTGGTAAGAGTTGACTGCTTTTGGGGTTGGCTCCTGGCTTACCGATCTCCTTGGCCACGGCATTGAGCTTGTCCAGCGAACGACTGATCAGAACCAGCTTCAGTCCTCGGCTGGCGAGCTAGAAAAATGGGGATGTGATTGTTATTTTATTTAAAATTATTATAAGAGGCTTGGGGAAACCTCTTGAAATTCAAAATAGGGTAAACCATTAAGATGTCAGCACTTTGTTTATGTTATTGCCAAGTCAACGTTTTAAAAAGAACTCTCCAAAAAGACCATTGATCTACTTATTCTTCTTCAATAAAGACCACCAATTGGATACAAACTTATAGACGGATTTAAAAGAACCCATAAGAAAGCAGGGTAGGGAGGGAGTACCTCAGTGTGGAGTGGACATTGGAGCCCCTTCCAGAGCATTGCGTCAGACGCTTGCCGAATAATAATGCTCAACCGGGGCGTAGCCCTGCGCTGAAACTATGTGTGTGCCTTCTCATTCGATCACCACGTGTTCTGGACTGTCGCTTCTAGCGAAGATCGCTTCGAGTGGGGGCGTTAAACAAAGTCCGGGACCTGGGAACAGCCCGGTTTCCGAAAAAAAAAAATTAGCTGCTGCCACTCGACAATTTGTAAAAATAAACAAAAAATATAGGTGTAAAGGGCTGCACAGCAAATGCTGTAATTTGCAGTCAAGCAAACACTATTAGGAAATGTTTGCGCCCAGAGATCGATTTCAAAGTGCAGATTCATCACTTGGCTAATGCATTCCCGCCCAGCGACGGACGGGACGTACAATGTCCAAGTCATTGTGGGTGCCGCTCGAAGGTTCAGCAATTCGGTAATTAATCATTAATTAGCTTGACCGCCTTTCCCATTCTGGACTTTGGCTGGTGGCCAAGAGTGGGCTACGTACCTCCTTCGCGTAGGCCTTGCCAATGCCGTCGGTGGACCCGGTGACAACTGAAAAGGTAAGAAAGAGCCACAGGTTAGTAAAAGGTTCCCGGGTTATCAGCAGGTTGTGGAAATATTGGCTTCTCTTATCGCTCACAGGTAAAAATGTCTATACGCTGGCTCTCTAATCAAGTTAATGGGTCGACATATAAAGTTTATAGAATAGTTTGGTGGTTCTATTAGGAACTCTTCTATAATATTCCATACAAGAAGTCTATCTATAGTCTATTCTTAAAGTTAAGATCAAAGGAATAACAAATATCACTTAAAATCACTGAAATTAAACTATTAACTATTCTAAAAACTAAAATCTAACTTCTTAAAACTATATTCTAATATTCCTAGCTTCCAAATACTCCTTTACACTGAACAAAATTACACTATTAGTCACAAAAATCTCACTTTCTAAAGACAGCTCTAGACATTTTCAAAACCATAACTCCAAATGGATTACAAATGGTTCTATAATATATCCTCAGACTCTATACTTTCGCTTGACATTTTTTCACTGTGTACTTTTCACTTCCGTAGCCTGCTCACCTGCCCACTCGCCTATCTTGGCCAGGTTCACCGAGGAACCAAACACCTTGGGCCCCACCACATTGGTGTAGATCCAGGGCAGGACCTTGCGGACCACCTGGAAGCCCACGACGCTGATGGCAACTACGCTGAGGATGCTGAGTACTTCGTTGTTCGCTTCCATGTCGTCTGCGGTTGTGGATGAGAATGTGCCTCCAGGTACTGGCTGATTACTGGATGATCCGACTTCTACTGTAGCCTCTGCCGGCTATATAGCTTCTGAGTTTTTGGTTTCCGATTTTTCCAAAGTGCAGTGGTGCTGCCCAGTTTTCGCTGACGCTGCCGGCGTCGCTGTCCGCCCGAGCTCGTGGTTGTGGTTGTGCTTGTGCTTGTACCTAAACAGCCTTTGGATCCCACTCGGTAGTTGGGTCTGAATCGCCGCTTTGAATATTAAAATCGCAGAACTTAAAGCAAAAAGGGGGAAAAATAAAAACAAATCGAAGAAACCGATTGAATGTCAATTGTCAAATGGCGGCGACTCGACGTAGAATGAACGGTTCTTTTGCCTATCCGTGTGGATGGCTATGTACATTCGGGGTGTGTGTATGTGTGTGTTGGTGAGCACGGCCCACTTATGTCACCCCGCTCTCTCAATCCTCGTCGCCCGATTTTTCCCTTATATATATATATCACACCACCGCCGTCGCTGAGAGATAGGGGCGGCTGGGCACAGTACTCCGTGAAAGTATTTCACACAAGAACCGTTATATGGGGGCTGGGATTGAGAGCCAAGAGTCTGGTTTTTGGGTGGATACGTGTGGCTGGCAGTGTAAAATCTATGCTCTCACACATACGTACAGGGAGAGCCGCCACCGAATTATAACGGCACATGCGCAGGAAGCATGAATAATGTGCGATAAGAAATTTAATTGAAACTATTTACAATCCTAAATGATTCTTGAGTTTCTATGAGTTTGACCGGAAAATAAACGCCTGCTGGATTAACGGTTGTTTGTGGCGGCAATGCAAATAGTCTGACCATGCGACAATTTAAATGAATTAAATTAAATTAATTATTATTTAATTCTTAATAAATGAACACGGCTCGAATTTCTCTCTATGTATTCATCTTGATTTAATTAATTAAATTGCAAAATTTATTCAAATAATTTAGGTATAAAATTCAAAAATATTGCAATGTTTATATTAAGAGGGAGCATTTATTATTTTTTCCTGCATATAATTACTGAAATAATATTTTAAATTCAAAAAAACTTTTAACGGCTACGTTTTGTAAGCCAATATATCGATAGTTTGCATTATCATTGTTATGAGGTACGGGCACACTAGAGTGGGAAGCTTTAATTTTCCAAGCATTTGGCGTTTAATTTTTATTTAATTGCTTAATTGCTTTGTCCTTAATGATAAAAGGAGTCTACAAGATGAATACGATTAATACATTTTCAGAAATACAGTCAGGAAAGTCTAGAAATGTGTTTATTATGTCACCCAGTGATCGCTGCTGAATGGGGACTTTCAGCGCGCCATCTTTTTCTAACGGAACTTTTCAAGATGTCTTGAATGAGGCTTTGGAAAACAATGGGATTGTCTTTGATATAATATTCTTAGAGGTTAGATTATAAATATATATTTTTAACTTATTCTTAAACTTTTAATATATTTCCAGATGTATTTGAAAAGTGGCGGCTTTTAAGGACAACGATTAATATCGCCTAAATGCTTTCAAATTTCAAAGAAAGCCACAAAATGTGATTTGTAGGCTTTATTTTGATCTTTCCTTACGTTTTTTACCAATCTTGTTAGTCAAAAAATATTAAAATTAATTTCAATTAACTGAAAATTTAAAAATTTGCTACGCAGGGATGAATGCGCTACGCCGAGAGAGATGCTGGCATTCCGGAGCGGAATCAGTGCCGCAGCAATTGTGGGTGAGGGAACAACAACGTCTACGGCCCGGCATTGTCTTTGTAAGGCCGCAACTCCATCTAGTCAGCAACCCACCAGAGTAATCCTTTCCGGATTGATCTTTACGAAGAGCCAAAAACCGGATTATCAGCTTTAAAGCCAGATTTTAAGGATCTGGCGAGGATTTTGTGTCCAATTAGTAAGTGTTTGCCGTGGTTTATGGCCCATTGAGTGGTGCGAAAAGTGTCAGTCGTGGGTGGATGGGACGGGAGGCTGGGGACTGGATGCTGGCCATGCGCAGAGAATGCCCTGACCTACATTCTCGCTTATTGGCTATCCAATGGGGCAGCCTGGGCCAGGAGCAGCAGTTGCAAAATAATATAAATTCACACGCAACACGAGCTAGTTAATAAAAGCATCTCGTCCTTTTTCCCCCATTTTCTCGTGTCTGAAACAAAAAATAAAGAACAGAACCGATTACAGAAAAAGAAAAACAAATTAGAGACAAACAACTGGTTGGAAATGTGATTGGTAGCGAAAAACAGAGCTTACAATATGTCCAGTAAGTGCCCAGTGCCCAATCGATAAGAAGCAAATCGTAGTCGCAGCTATATCCGGATGATTCGGAATGCAGTGGGACGCTGATGCAGTTGGATCGATATAGAACAGATTACAGGCGCGTTTATATGTGCATATCCTGCGGTGAGTGGCGTCTCAGGACTCAAAAGAATCCTTTCCCCCTACACATTCGTACGTTTTTCAGTGATGAGATCGAGACTATTTTGGATACTGGCAATTATATACTCCTCACTCCATCACATTGGCTCGGGCTCCACGTCGACAACATGTGAGTTTCATAAGCTTCCAATAATCCTCAAATACACACACAAAGTGGCATATACAAGAGTGAAAATTAATTAATTATTATTTTATTATTATTTGATTTATGTTACATACATTTTTTTCTAGTGAAACGACCGCGAGCTGGCGATCCATTCGACACATTCCCCAAGAACTTCTGGCAGGAGTTCTCCTCACCGTTCACCGACACGCCCGAGGATGAGGAACTGGAGGTCACCGAAACGACCACCCACGAGCCGTTTCCTTTCTTCGCCGATCCGTACACCACGCTAAACATCAGCACCCAGCTGTCCTCGAACGTGTACCTCCACTGTCGAGTGAACGATCTGCAGGGCAAGACCGTCTCCTGGATGCGGAGGCGCGGCGAGGACCTCACCCTGATCACCTTTGGCCAGCACACGTACAGCGGTGATTCGCGCTACTCTCTGGAGTTCGAGGAGCCCAATGACTGGAAGCTACTGATCCAGTTCGCCAATGAGCGGGACGAGGGACCCTACGAGTGCCAGGTGTCCTCACACCCGCCGCTTGTCCTGCTCGTCTACCTGACGATAATTGGTATGAATGGCATCTCCTGGGCCTCATCAACTCTGATCTATTTATTTCATCTCTTCATTGCAGTTCCTCACGTGGAAATCCTCGACGAGCGGGGCTCGGCCACGCCGGAAAAGTACTACAAGGCTGGCAGCACCATCGAGCTGCAGTGCGTCATATCGAAGATTCCGCACCCCTCTTCCTACATCACCTGGCGCCACGGGCCGCGCCTGCTTAACTACGACACCAGCCGCGGGGGAATCAGGTGGGCTTGGTTGAACTTTTAAGGTTTAACTTTTCCTGACCCGCCTTTTTTTTCGATTATTGCAGCGTAAAGACGGACATGTTGCCTGGACGAGCACTGAGTCGGTTGTACATCGCCAACGCCAATCGCCAGGACACTGGGAACTACACCTGCATGCTGGGCAATGAGATTACCGAGACGGTGATGGTCCACGTTCTGAATGGTGAGTTTCCCTCCAATCCTCACTGTTTCAATGACACCATGCCTCTGTTCCAGGTGAGGAACCGGCGGCGATGCAGCACGCGAACGGGAGCCGCATCAAGGCCAGCATCCCCATACCCACGATGGTTGTGTTTTTAGTAGGTTATGTGGTCAGGCTCGTTTCTGGACTAACCGGAAGCGGGATGGCCGGGTCGTGGGGGTTGCGATGACGATAGAGTGGAATCGCGGCTCGCGGAAAATGCAAATACACCAAAGTATCTTGTCCAGGATTGCATTTTCGACTTTTACTCTAATCATGGGTTGTTTAACATACGATACATAGCATAAACTGAATATTTAAGCTTAAGTCAAGTATATTTAAAAAACAAAAAAACCAGAGAAATCGAAAGATCTAACACACAAAGCCAAACCAAAAAAAAACAAGATGTTCTATCTCGAAACCGAATGTGTGGAAGAAACCACTCGTATCCATTATTATATAGATGAGATAAAAATTGATTTTGCAGTTTTTAAAGCTAGAAATCGAAATGAACAAGACATTATTATTATTATAATTATTAATTATGTAATATCATAATCGAAACGAAATTTGTATTGCAATGGCCGTGTTTATGTTGGCTGCATATTGATCTTGTAGAGACCGCGTCTAAACTGTGTCCGTTTAGCTCTTTGTTGGCCCTCCCCGCCCCCACCCCCTAGTTAATAATTTGTCGCTTAAAAATGCCACATTCCCCGATATTATACACTACGAAAGATATATGTATATTTATACACTTCCGAACCAAGGCCTTGTTAAACGAAAAAACAAAAATGGTTGTAGCTTCTTGAAATCAAACAGCATATCAGTTGGGATCATTCTAATTGTAATCGATCGACATCGGTCGCAGTTTGTAGCTTCATTAAATCTGGTTTCTATATGTTGTTATTACCCGAATTTGTTTAATTTTTGTAATGATTGTAGCCAAGACAGAAAGACAGAAACCTATTTGTATGTTAGTAGAGGAATATTGAACAAAAAAAAAAAAAACAAAAACGAAATGGAAACCCATGGAACCATAGAAAATGTTTAACGTTAACATAAACTGTGCCATTTAAAATGGATACATATCGTTTAATTGTTGTTGAATTCGGTTGCGGAACCAAAAAGACCATTCGAAGGGCCTCAGAAAAATGATAACATTTACACTCTATATTTGTTATGGTCTCCTTTTTTGGAATCGACACAGCACCTACCACTCGGACCAAGGGTAATACGAAACGACTTGATTTATGAACAAGGTCCCAAGCCAAGAGCACTAACGAGTAATTCTATTAAATAAATATATACAAAAAAAAAATCGATTTAAAAAAAAAACCAAGTAGCCAGAAGCAGAATAATTTCCCATTTCTTCTCGATATTGGCGCGAGGTGAGGAAACTATGATTTTTGTCTATGCCTACAGTTTGCTTATCGCAGGCTTTTAAATCCTAGCTTAATCCTTGAATGAATCATTACATTTTTCAGTCATGTTGCTTTAAGATCGGTTCCAAATCCATCACACACCCACACAAAACACACACTTTCTCTTTCAAAAAAAAAAAAAACAAAAAGCTCGGCTTGAAAAAAAATACGAAAATATTTATAAATCTTGAGGCCACAAATGGTACTTGGGGGTAAACTAATTTCAATGGTCCAGTGTAGTTATTGTAAATTATTCAAATTGATCCCGACCCAAATCAGTACCCAGATCTGATCCCTGGAATATGCCATTATATAAAATGAAAAACAAAAACAAAAACACAATGTTGGAGTGAGATAATGAAACAATACTTAGAGACTAAATAAAAGTGACGAAACGAAACTTTTAGAAAGATTTTGGTTAAACATAATTATATTTAATAATTAATACATTTAAAATTGAGATTATAAAATCAACATACATAATGTATAATGTGGGCGTCCTCCGTCAATAACCAGAAACCAGAAAAAAAACCAAAAAAAAAAAAAAAATTGTATAAAACGACACACAAACACAAAACACATTTGTTTTTTCTATTAAAAATTTCAAAATCCATCAAATGCTATTATTTTTATATAAAAATCGCTGGTACTTTTAATCAAATCTAGTAAAAAATTCGTTAAAAAGATTTAAGAAATATTGAATACGTGATTTTGAAAAAAGGTATATTTGTATATACATATTCACATATATAGACTAAAGCGTGGGTTTAAAAAATAAAACATTATCATAACCTATTCTAGTTGGGCGGCCCTAGCCCTCGTACTCCACATCCGCGTCGGTGTACATCTTTGTGGGCTGGCCCGCCAACCCGTTATCGGTCTCCATCATCTCCACATCCCGACAGGTGGCCGCCTGAAGCTCTCGCCGGACATCGGGTGTGATCTTGAAGTGTGTCTTCTTCCTGCAATGGAAATTTAAGGATTAGCTCGGAATAGAAATATTATTTCTATGGAAAACTTACTTGAGAAGCTGGAGCAGAGCATCCCGCTGCTCAGAGGATATATCGTTCTTGTAGCGCTGGGCGAACGTGAGAAGGCTCTGATGCCATAGCACTGGCAGCTCCCGTTTGTCGTTCTCGAATCTGAAAGGAAATTAATCAATTATGAGGATTAACCCTTTATAGACTTCTCAACTCACCTGAGGAAGTGAAAGACTGCCGCATCCACGACACGGTAGGGCAGGGCATAGCGCTTGTCCAGGAAGTAGCGTATGAATATCGAGTTGGCGCCGGAGTAGCTCATCTCACAGATCTTCAGCAGGCAGGCGGAGGAGTGCAGGACGGGAATAGAGCTGCGGGCCACCACGCTGCCAAAGATAATGGCTTCGCGGAGCGTGCAGTCACCGCCCTCCAGGAGCGGCAGAATGATGCCCTTCATGAAGGCGGCCGGCTTGAAGAGGGCACGCTTCAGTGCATTATAGAGATGCATATTGAGCTTCTTGTACTCGCAGAGATCGTCGCGGACGCGAGGCAACAGCACCAGGTTGTAGAATCGCTGGGCCATAGCCTGCGATAGCACCGAACAGAAAATGCGAGTGCCCTGGAACATGGCGGCGGCGCTCCAGTTATGGGGCTCTGTGATGAAGAGGATCTGCTCCCAGTTGCGCAGCTTTGGTATGATCTTGAAAGCCTTTGGAATCTTGCCGCTGCGGTAGCGCTTCAGTACATCGCGCACGCCCTCGTACATCTCCTTGACCTTGGGATCGATCTCCTCGATCTTCAGCGAGCCCTCGTCGGAGATCTTTGTGTGTATGTCGGCCTCCTTCTCCTGGATCTTTTGCATGATTATCTTGGAGAGATGGAGCGTGCGCTTGCCCTCCTGGGCAGGCTTCTGGAATCGCTCAAAGGCGGCCACATCCTCATCGTCCATGTCCAGATCCGCCATGAAGTCTGTCTCGTTAACCTCCTCATCCTCTTTGTCGGCAGTGGGATCATCTAAGGGACAAGTGTTAGTGGAACTCAAAGAAGACCCTTTTTTTAAACTTACTCAAGTTAAAGTTGACCTTTTTAACGGTCACCAGGCTGGGGAAATTCTCCTCGTCCAGCTCAAGTTGCTGCTGCTTGGCCGCAGCCAAGATTTTCTGGCTGCTCCGGGCATCAATGTTCTGAAAGGAAAGCGGATTAGTTCGAAGACTCCTTAGGCGTGCTGGGAATCCCATAGTTCCTACCGGCGACTCCTCTGCCCTCAGCTTCACTTTGTCCTTGTTCTTTGCCTTGGCCACCTTGCCATCGGTGATCTGCTTCTCCAGGTTAACATTCTTAACCGTCGCCACATTGGCTTTCTTCGGTTTTCCCATGGTTTTAAATAAATTTGATCACTGCACGTGTTGAACCTAGGTATTGGAGTTGCCAACGTTTTGGGAATTAAGAAAAACAAAACATATATTTAGATGGTCTGGCAACCCCAAACAGGGTCACATTTTCGATAACTTTAACTTTAACTCCGTGATTAAACACGATATGTAAAAATATTTAATTTTCTAAATCAACATTTAAATTTTATGCTTATAGAGACATTTTATATATTTTTTTAAACATTTGTGTGAAACACTTTATATTTTTAGCACAGAAAAGTGTGAATATACAACAATAATACACCGCCCGTGACACGTATAATTCTCACAAATATCGATAACTTTTAATTTTGGTATTTTTTAGGCCTTTTTCCTGCTGCGCTGCAGGCACACAGATTTCCTTCAACGTGGTTTTTCGATTCTTTTTCGATTCTTTTTTTTTCTGCGTTGCTTGCAAACAGACGACGATATGAAGGTGTGCTAAAATTTTGTGAAAATAGCCAGATAAGGCGGCGGACGATGGGAAATATAGTGAAAAACAAAAAGCCCAAGCACTTTCCTAGTGAAATAAACTATTCCCGCAACAAAAAGTTCAGTGATTGGCTTAAAATCTGTGGATCACCGAATCGCCGCCGCCGGTTTCAGATATTTGTGTACATTGATATGGAGTATATTGATTAACCCGAATATGTGTGTTGTTGCAGCTCAACGTGTCCTATCCCGCTACGGGGTGCCAGAAATTGTTCGAGGTGGTGGATGAGCACAAGCTCCGCGTCTTCTACGAGAAGCGTATGGGCCAGATCGTCGAGGCCGATATCCTGGGTGATGAGTGGAAGGGCTACCAGCTGCGCATTGCCGGCGGCAACGACAAGCAGGGCTTCCCCATGAAGCAGGGTGTGCTGACCCACGGTAAGTACAGAGGAATTTCCTCATTTGACCTATTACTAATCTCTTTGTTTGTACGTCACTAGGTCGTGTGCGTCTTCTGCTGAAGAAGGGACACTCTTGCTACCGTCCCCGCCGTACTGGCGAGCGCAAGCGTAAATCTGTGCGCGGATGCATCGTTGACGCCAACATGTCTGTGCTGGCTCTGGTCGTGATCAAGAAGGGCGAGCAGGACATTGCTGGACTCACCGATACCACCATCCCCCGCCGTCTGGGACCCAAGCGTGCCAGCAAGATCCGCAAGCTCTACAACTTGAGCAAGGAGGATGATGTCCGTCGCTTTGTCGTCCGTCGCCCTCTGCCCGCCAAGGACAACAAGAAGGCCACCAGCAAGGCCCCCAAGATCCAGCGCCTCATCACGCCCGTCGTTCTGCAGCGCAAGCACCGCCGCATCGCTCTGAAGAAGAAGCGCCAGCAGGCTTCCAAGGAGGCTGCCGCCGACTACGCCAAGCTGTTGGTGCAGCGCAAGAAGGAGTCCAAGGCCAAGCGTGAGGAGGCCAAGCGCCGCCGTTCCGCCTCCATCCGCGAGTCCAAGAGCTCCATCTCGAGTGACAAGAAGTAAAGGGTTCCCGCGAACCGAACACCCCACATTCGTTGTTTAAGCAGAACACCAGATCCGTAGTACATCCCGATGCTCTACGGGAGGAGAAAAGAAATTCAAATACCCATTTATGATGAATAAATGTGTGCAAAAACGGTATTCAGTTTCCGGTTTATTTTATTTATTTTTTTTTTTGTGTGATATCTGGTGAATTGTGATTGTTGGTTATGGCTTCATTCGGCTAACCATGTGCTCATGGTACTGGTCTTTTTGGACCTATTTTACTCCAAGTGGAACTGGAATCCACCTTTAGCGTTTTTTCGATAATATTTGAGTTCTAGATCGGTGTTGTGAGTGTTGGGTTATGATTCTTCTATTAACTGATGGATATGGTAGATATATATCTATCTTACAGATGTATCTTTGAGGATAGTTGGATTTAAATCATCATAAAGATATCTATGTAGCCAAGCCCCAAGGCCCTCTATGAATTTCAAGAACTTCTAAAGTCGAACTTAGTTCCATTGTTTTGATTGCGAATTGTATAAGAAATCGCTAGGGGGTTTCCGCTTAACTATCAGATAAGAATTTGCTGTGAACTTTGGCACTGAAATGTATAGACAAAAGCAAAAAGAAGCAAAATGAAGATAAATTCGATCTGAAATTACATTCTAATATTAAGATCGAAAGATATTGCTAGGCACAAAATACGAATGGGACTATTTTTAAAGGGAAAAAATCAGAACCTTCAGAAAAATTGGTAAAAAATAATCGCAAATATTTATCTGAGATTTATATGATGGGGAATTGCATTAGAAATCTAAATTGGAGAAGATATAGGCATTGGAGGGCGACAACAACGAAAATCCACATTTTTGAAGGGGTACCTTCAGAAAAATTTTTAAAAAATCGATCCAAAAATTTGTTCTCAGATTTTAATGCAGATTGGTGGAGAATTGGAAAATAAATCGTATGGTGAAAGCCGATCCAGAATCGGATGAAAATTGCAGAAGATATGGACATCGCAGGGGGAAAAATTTGAATATCTGCATTTTTGTAGGGAAAAAAATCAGAAAAATTTTGAAAAAAATCGATCCAAAAATTTGTTGTCAGATTTTGATGCAGATTAGTGGAGAATCGAAATATTAATCGACTGGTGTAAGCCGATCAATAATCGGATGAAAATTGGAGAAGATATGGACATCGCAGGGGGCAAAATTTGAATATCTGCATTTTTGAAGGTATACCTTCAGAAAAATTTTGAAAAAAATCCATCCAAAAATTTGTTGTCATATTTTGATGCAGATTAGTGGAGAATCGAAATATTAATCGACTGGTGTAAGCCGATCAATAATCGGATGAAAATTAGAGAAGATATGGACATCGCAGGGGGCAAAATACGAATATCTGCATTTTTGTAGGGGTACCATCAGCAAAATTTTGAAAAAAATCGATCCAAAAATTTGTTGTCAGATTTTGATGCAGATTAGTGGAGAAGAATCGAAATATTAATCGATTGGTGTAAGCCGATCAATAATCGGATGAAAATTGGAGATGATATGGTCATTGCAGGGGACAAAATTCGAAAATGTGAATTTTTGAAGGGGTACCTTACGAAAAATTTTGAAAAAAATCGATCCAAAAATGTTGTCTCAGATTTTGATGCAGATTTGTGGAGAATCGAAATACTAATCGATTGGTGTTAGTAAATTTGTTGTCAGATTTTGATGCAGATTAGTGGAGAATCGAAATATTAATCGACTGGTGTAAGCCGATCAATAATCGGATGAAAATTGGAGAAGATATGGACATCGCAGGGGGCTAAATTCGAATATCCCCATTTTTGTAGGGATACCATCAGAAAAATTTTGAAAAAAATCGATCAAAAAATTTGTTTTCAGATTTTGATGTAGATTGGTGGAGAATTAAAAGATAAATCGATCGGTGTAAGTCGATCCAGAATCGGATTGAAGAAGATATAGACAATGGCCCTCAAAACAGAAAGAGATGGATAGCAGGAGACTGTCTCTTTTTGATTGGTAAACTTCCCGCCAAGCACCCAAACTTGTTTAAACTTGTATCTAGATATATATATTCATCGGTACGTAGTATATAAATAACAAATAGAATGTGTATATAAGATGCTTGGAGGAGAAGATTCCTGGGGCAGTCGGGCAGCAGCTTGCAGGGGCCGGATCGGGCCTCTTATCTCAGACTGGGAACCTGGTCCTGGGCGTGGGAACTGGGAACTTGGTTGGGCGAGCCTTCGGTCTCGTATCTCGTCAGCTTGGCTTCTTGGTCGGCCAGTAGTTCGAGCAGGTCCTCCTGGTCCTTTTGTGTGGCGGTCAGAGATTCCTGTGCCGCATCCGCACGCTGCTTTTCCGCAGCCAGTTGCTGCCGGAGGGTTTCCAGCTCCTTCGTCAGCCGAATATTCTCGGCGAAGTACATATTGGCCTGGTAGCGGGCCGCATTCAGTTCCTCCTCGCTGGCTGCTGGTGTGGTCTGTACCGTTGCAGGCGCTCCGTCGGTCTGTGGTTGAACCGGCTGACCCGCGGCGCTCAATTGCGCCTTGAGCAGAGTGTTCTGATCCAAGAGTTGAGCCTTCAGCGCTTGCTCGTCCTGAAGCGTCGCCTTCAGCTCGTTGTTTTCCTGCTCCAGCTCCTTCGCCTCGTCCTGCAGTGTCCGGATTTGGCCGTCCATGCCCCGGATAATGCCCTTGTACTGGGCGACCAGGGCCGAGGCCTCCGAGCTGAGGGTTAGTTCGGTCAACTCTATCCCGTCCACGTCGAATCCGCTCACCAGCTTGGCTATCAGCGCCTCCAAGCCTTTGTACAACTTGCAGTACTCAAAGTCGAGCAGCAGCTCTCCGGCGGACTTGGCCCTGATCTGGGCCTGCTTGCAAGCCCGGCTGTAGGCTTCGTGGCGCGACACCTCGGCCAGCTTGCTGCAGAAGCTCTCCTGGCCGATCCGCTTGATGATCAGCTGGCTGATGTCGTCGCGCTTCTGGCCGGCAAGAGAATTGTCGTTGAACTGAATGCACAGGCCCATGAGGAAGGCGCACATGCCCTGGACGAGAAACTCGCGCTCGTCGTGCTCGTTGGAGCACAGCTGGGCGGTCAGGTAGGCCATGGTTCCCTGAGTCTCCAGCAAGGCTTTGACGGCACCCGGGCAATGAGCCAGCCACAGGCTGAGCAGCATCAGCAGGCCCACCTTGCTCTGGAGGCGATAGCGCTCCTGCTGCATCAGATTGGTGCACTGCTCTAGCAGGGTGATGGGCTTCTGGCCTCCCGGAGTGGCTAGCAGCACACGAAGTAGTTCCTCCTTGAGGGCCACGTTCTCCACGAGGGAGTGCATCAAGGCCACGGCCGAGAACCAGTTGGCCAGGGCGTCTGTGGAGAAGAGTCCGGTGCACAGGAGCTGGCCCGTAGATAGGGCGCTCACATCGGAGGCGCTAGACGGCAGCAGAGTCTGAACCACGGCCCGCTGGCCATCCGAGTTCCGGAACAGGAAGCACTCGAAGCAGTAGAGCACGGCACAGCGCAGGGCCAGCAGTTGCTTCTCGTTGATCATGGACATGAGCAGGACCACAATGGCAGGGCGTGGGGGACTGCTTGGCGCCATCACCCGGCCAAGCTCCTCCTGGTTTTCACGGTCACCGCGGACCACCTCAGCGACGGCGTTGATTGTTTCCGTCAGTATGTCGGCCGGGACGCCGCTGCTCATCAGGATGTCACAGAGTGCATGGAGCAGGCGGGACTTTTGCATCACCCGCTGACAGGCGGCCACCACCTGCTGTTGGTTGCTGGGCGTGACCAAGGCACGGACCACCTGCAGGAGGCAGTGAAAGTTGGAGACCTTTTGGGGCGACCAGCCGGCCTCCTCTGTGTCGGGCGAGAGCTCAAACATGGGAGCTAGACGCTGGATGTAGCTGCCCTCCTTGAAGAACTGCTGGTTGCTCGAGTTGTTCTTCAGCAGGTTGAGGAGCAGTATGAGGCAGTCCTCCACCACGATGCCGCCGTCGGAGCAGCCCTCCTCGCGCACTATCTCGAACAGTCGGTCGAAGGCGTTTTCGAAGGCCACGATCTTCTGGATGTTGGAGTTGCCCTTGGTGAGCTCGATCAGCAAAAGGAGGACGTCGTTGCGGATCACCTCGCGGCTGTCGGTGAGCAGATCCATCAGCTTGGACACGCCCATGGGGCTGACCAGGATGAGGTCCTGCAGCTCGCGCGTCTTGTTCGAGATGAGCGACGTGATCAACTGGATGGCAGCCCGGCGCACCCTAAAATCGTACTCCTCCAGGTAGCCCATGACCAGGGTCACATGCTCCGGCGTCTTGATGAACATCTCTGTAAACTGCTCGCCCACGTTGACAGACACCGTTGGGTTGTCTGCCTCCTCATCGAACTCCTCGCTAGTCACCACATTGCACAGCGTGTCCAAGGCATAGCTAATGATCTCCGCATCCTGGCCGTCGTTTTGCAGCACCTGCACCAGGGGTGGCATTCCCTGGGCGCCAACCTCGATGCGGTATTTGCGGGAGAGCGCCTTCAGGGCCCGACACGCGTCGCGCCGGTCCTCTAGCAGAGTGGAGGAATAGACGCGGTCCACCAGTTTCTCCACCGTCTCGGCAGCACTCGGCTGCTGGCCCGGCTCCGTGCTGCCCAGCACCGTCTTGATGCCGCTCTTTAGGAACTCCATGCCTCCGGTTTTCGGTCAGTGTCCAGCAGCCAGTACCAGTTCCCAGGGTCTCCAGGGCAGCGCCTGCATCCACTTCTGACACGTCAATTTATTTATTGACTATTGGTGGTGGGTGTGGGGCGATAGGCCGAATCGGCTGTTATCGATTGGCGATTCCTCATTTTATCGGATTTTAAATTAAAACAAATTAATTAAATTGCTGAAGAAATAAATTTTTAGTTGCAAGAATATTAACTTTTTAATAAAAAATAAAGTGTATATTTTTTTTTAACAAATGCTTTATTCGATAATTCCTGAGTATCATTGTTATCATTGTATCATTCTTGTTATAACACTTAGCTATGAGTATCTTATTAATACTTGGGCTAGGAAATAGTTTATTTCGGATTATTTACTTGGTAATCATAATCATAGCTACCAAAATCACACGTCGGTTCTGTTATAAATATTAAATACTATTCCCTTGTGGCGATCAGAAAGTCTTTCTGTTACGTTTTTAATAAGGACTGGCCTTCTTGGCATGCTTGGTGCGGGCGGCGCGGATGGCACGCTGGCGTGGCTTGCAGAGGAACAACTTATCGACCAGTTTACAGGTCTCTTGGCGAACCGGCGGCGGGGACACAGCCACAATGGCCAATAGGCTGTCGAGATGGAACTTCTTCTTGTTGGTACGACGGAAATGGTGCTTACGGAAGGCGATCATGTAGCGACGGAAAAGGAAGCTGAAAGCCCCATATGCGGTGGCGCAATCAACTTGCTGCACTACCTTGCTCAGCAAGCTCCAAATGGCCTGGTCTTTGCCGGCCTCAAGGCAGCGACCGAAGAGTAGGGTGGCCTCCTCGGCAGAAGATTGGGTAACCAGAACTATAAATTCCTTCAGATAGTTTGGGGACTGCACCTTCAGCTCTTCGGCTGCATACACCTCCGAATGTTTAAGGGTCAAGACCACCTCGGCTATTTTCCGGCGCAATTCTGGGGGATAAGCGATAATAAAATTAATTATGGAATGTATTTCGATCTCTCTGCCAAAAAGATGGCGGTATTCCAACACTTACCTTCGTCGACATACATCTCAATGGGCATGCTTTGCTTCCAGTACTTTACAGCGGTGCCAAGGATCCGGACTCGGTCCGGGTCGAAGGTGGAGAGATTCCAGCGCAGCTGGTCCATGCAGCCCATCATTTTGGTGATGAGTTCCAAGTGGCGGACACGCAATCCTCGCATGTTGGCGTGCATTTCAGCATAGTTTCTGGCCTCTTCTAGGACCTGGGGAGTTACAGAACTGTCCCGCTCTATATTTCGGAGCTGTTCGCGACTGGCCTCTTGTAGAAGCACCTCGGCGGTGTTCAGCTGCATGAGCAAATTGAGGATGCATTCTAGAGCTTGGTAATTAGGGTTGCTCCCTGATCCGAACGTATCGAGAGCCATGCCGCAGTAGCTCAGGTACGCGGTAACGCCCCAATTTAAATTCTCCTTGCGGTATGAAAACTTTTCGCCATTAAGGTTCACAAAGTATTTGTGACCAGATGTGTATCTCAATCCGTTCAGGATGGGCTTGTGAAAGTACAGGGCTAACAAGAATTTCTGAGCGTTGGGCTTCAGAAGCAAGCGCTCATCTAATAACAGCTTTTGGGCGCAGAGTTCCATGTAATTCACGGAATGCCGCGAGCAAAGAGAAGCCATGCGCCAGAACATCAATGCATATTTTTCGTGGGTCATGGCTAGTCGGGCCAGATCCACCCAGGTCTCATCTGGCTTCTCGTAGCATAGCAACAGGAAGTCGGTCATGGGAAAGTCGCCATTCATCTCCAGCTGGTTAAAGAACCTAATGCGCTTGTTAGTGTGGCCGCTGGATTCAAAGTCGAAAAATTCGGTGACTCGAAGTTCGTCGCGCATCTCGAGCATCAAGACCTTTTCTTTCTTGGAGCAATTATCAAAGATCGGATGCAAAATGAGGCGAATGAGCGGTTCGTACTCCTCCTCTTCGTCCGTGAGATCCGGCGAGTATTCAGTGATTGTTTCGGAAGTATCGCCTTGAGCGGCGTCCATCACGTTAGATAATTGCGCCATTTTTTCGGCCTTCCTGGCAAGCACGACCTGACTGAGATAGTGAAGTATCTGGCGACCGTGTTCCATGTTCAACAGATGCAAGTGGCTATTCATAGTCCACACGCACTCCTCGTTGCCAAAGGCGATCGAGCGGGTGAAGAGCTCGTTCAGACCTGCAATCTTGCCTTCTTCGGAGGGTTCTTCCTTCCCTTCACCATCAAGGTATACGAGCAAATCACCAATAGTCAGTTCGGCGAGACGTTCCGTCAAGGACTTGACGTTTCCCGTAAATGGCTTTAGTTGCGCACAAACCGAGTGAATGGCCAGTTCAGAGTTTTCCGGCTTTTTCAATATATCGAGCAACTGTGTTACCTGGTCGCATATAAGCTCCTGATAATTGTACAGGAGTCGGGGCGATTTGAGGTCCACCCAGTCCATGTAAACGTTTACGCTCACCAACTGTAGTATGCGCTGGAGGGCATCCAACAGCACATTGGCAAAGCGGCGCAGATCAGGCCTTGGATCTGGGTCATAGGACGAGATAAGATCGATGCTTAATTCTCTGTAGAATTCAAAATACGGTGGCGGCTCGCGACCCACAGCTTTCTCATCGAGGGCCCTTATAATGACACTCATTATTTCAGACATTGCCTCAGCCAGGTATTTGCTGCGCCTATCCGGGTGAATTTCATTCAAGATATCCTGGCTGTCGATCAAATATTGTTGTAAAAGGCCCGCAATATGACGGATTAGCACCTTATTGGCTTCCGGGATGTTGTAAAACACGATGGATTCGCCAGCAGCTCGGACACAGGACCATAGATGAGGAATGATGTCCATGCGGTCTTTGCAAAGTTTGCCCAGAACCTGGTTAAGGGTCTCAAAATATTGAATTGTGACCCAACGGGGGCCGCATGAAAGAAACTCCTCGAGGACATCTGCCATGGCGCAGCGCAGGTATATGGCTACGGTAAGAAACTGTGGCATCATAGGAAGCTGTGCCACCAGATGAACGCACGTCATGCCCCATGTGGCTTCCCCAGATGGAATCTCTGTGGCAGTGTTTACTAGTAGCAAGACGAACAGCCCGCGATAGTCATTCTTCGCCTCAGGACATGAACACTCCCTGACCATTTCCATCGGACGGAATTCATGTGGGATTTCAACGATAAGTTCGTCCTCCGCCAGGCAAGAAAACACTCGTTGGCACACTTCCGAAACATGCGTTTCATTTCCTACAGAATTTCCACTTTAAGGTACCAACAACAAAAAATTCACAAAAAGCCGACTTACCTCCGAAATATATTATAGAACTCAAATCCTTCGTTGCTTCTGAATAACTCTCCAGTTCTAATTTTACATCATAAAACAGCTGGCAGTTATCCAGGGGATACTGCTTTATAACTACCATCCTGACTTCCAATGATAGATTCCTACTTCCTTTTTTCCAAGATTTATTCTTAGCGCCGCTCAATCGAAAAAGAACTTGATTTTGACAAGCGTCCCTAGTGGTGGGACCTGGCCGATAAGAATTTCACTATCGATTACTCCAGACTCACCACGAAGCACGAAGTTCTAATTGAATATTTTTAAATTAATTACAAAAATAAACTTTATTATTTTTGTTTTTTTGGAATGCCTTTGTTCCAAAATGTTCAACATTCAAAATGCGACTGATAAAATGCGGGGAAGAGCTTCTATATCTGATTGAAAGAAAACAAGTTTTTAAAAAATGTTTAAAAAGGTTTCTATTTGGATTCTATTTTTAGTTCATGTTTTAAAATCGTTTTAAAATGGCGTTAGGACCTGTTCGAACTCAAGTTTTAGTTGGGGACTTCCTTATAGGAAGCTTATTATTAGTGGCGGGAAATTCGAATGAAAAGGTAATTCCCGCCAAGCGTCGGCGCCAGCTGGTATGAGCTTATTGGCGCGAGGGTGGAAGCGGGAGAGGGCGGGAAATCAGCTGACGGACCATCGATTTGTGGGAGGCGGGCGCGGCGATAGACGGCGACTCACAGATAGCGGGCGAAGCGAAAACCAAAGCGCACCCAAAAAAGCTAGCTAGCCGTGGAAAAAAAACGGAAATCCCGGAAGCCACCTAAACTGGAACAAGACCATGCAATAGTCCACCTGCTAGTGCACACTTTGCGAGCGAGAGAGAGCGGGCGAAAGAGAGCAGGCGAACAGGAGCGGCAAGGACGGCGGCGGCGGCAGACGGGCGACAAAAATGGAGCTTCGCGATTTGCGTGCTGGCGGTAACGACGGCGTGCCAGGCGGAGGAGGCCCAGGTGGAGCAGGAGCTGGCGCTGCAGCAGGCGCAGCCGGCGGAGCAAGTGGACCCGAGTTCGGCGGCATCTGCATTGGTGGCACTGGCGGTGGCCAGAGATTGCCCACCAAGGCGGACCTGTTCATCGAACAGCTAAATGCCACCAACGCCAAAAAGGTGGCCCTCCTCCTGGTTCTCGGATTCATTGTTTACCACGGCCTCCTCAACTGGAACTACGGTGGGTATTACTTGGTCTCTCATCCCGGGAACTAAAAGCTTGTACCTATAAGAAAAGTCTCCACTGTACCGCCATTGTAGGGATTTCCTTGAAGTAATGTGAAAGACAAGAATTAGGTTATCTCATTTTTTACAATCTATATCTGCATATATCTGCTTTTTTTTATCAAAAATTTTCCCCCCCAAATAATGATTTAAAATGAAAGTTTTGTTGTAGACTTCCATCTTGGTGGGCAAAGAATTAGATTCAACTAACGGTTGTATTTTTTATAGATAGTATATTGGAATATTACAGTTTTGTTTGGGAATTTTTTAGGCAAAGAGTTGAGTAAACAAAATCCCATGAATATTATCAGTTGGGGCTTTAGGGCGCCCCAGATAGGCGCCGATTCCCTCTCCTACTTCGGCTCCATCCAACCGGTATTGATTTGTCCTGGTTTGCTCCGGATTTTCAGGCAGCGACTCCTGTCAGTGGTTGCTCTCCAAGGGCCGCTTCAAGGGCGACAACGAATGGCAGCCGTATGGCTGCATGGTGCACAAGTACTCCCTCACGTGAGTAATCACTTCGAAAACATGCCATGCCATACGTTCTGTGACTCATCCGCATCCAATCTATTCCACAGCGACACGCGGCGATGTTTACGGTACTTGGCCTTTTTCGACAACAAGAACAACTTCGTCTTCATCGGCGACGACAGTGTCCGGCTGCTGTACGAGCGCTTCGTGGAGCAGCTGCGTCTGCCGCTCGCCGCGGACGAACTGGCCGCCCAGCAGCCGGAGCAGCAGGATGACGACAACAATGCCTCTGTGGCGGACAGCTCGGCGCGTTTCGAGGACAAGAAGCTGCACATGCTGGCCCAGTACATTAGGGCCGAAGAGGTCAATCCGGCGCTAGTGGAGCGACTCTATCACCTGGAGGCCGAGAAGCAGCTCTCCTCCGTCTACGTGGTCGGCTTCACCTACTCTGGCCTGCTGGCCGGCAACACCACTGAGGACGTACTGCGCCAGTACGCCGCCAACTTGACACTGCTCGTGGCCCCGTTCCACCGGCTGGTGGCCCAGACGTCGCGAGTCCTCTGGAAGCTGGCGGACCGCGTGGACGAGGAAAAGCTGCCCGCCAGCTGGAAGCTCTTGCAGAACGAGCACATTGACAGGCTGAACCATGTGGCACGAGGCGTTTTCCGATACACAGAGGCCAGTGTCTGGGAGTCGGCGTGGCACATCGCCAACGGGCTGCTGGACAACGCTGTCGATGGCCACCAGCTGTGTGCACACGGCCAGCGGCTGGAGGTGCAGCTTCTGTGGAATATGTACTGCAACGATTACATGAACTACAACGATGGCACCTGCTGCAGCAGCTCCGAGCCGCACACTACGCTCCAGATTGTGGCGTACGCCATGTTCGGTGTCTGCATGGCCCTCGTCTGCGGCATGTGTCTTCGCCGCTGGGTGCTCCACCTGCGAGGCCACACGCTCTATGTGCCGCTCCAGCAGCACCAGTCGCATTCGCAGCAGCAGGAGGGAGGAGGACGCACGCGAGGCGCTCCTGGCAACGCCCTGTCGGCTCTGATAACCGACTACGGCACTCCCATGGTGGCTCTGTCGCTCCTGGGTCTGATCCTGGCCTACTTCTACCTCTGCGACCGCACCAATTTCTTTATGAAGGAGAACAAGTACTACTCGGAGTACAGTTTCTGGATCCCAGTGGGCTACGTCTTCGCCTTGGGGCTCTTCTTCACCGAAGACTCCAGGTTTACCAAGGTAGGTCCTCCAGAATACTCCTGAAATGCCTTTAGATGTTAACATTTTGGATCCACAGGTCCTGAACCGCGACCAAACGGATGAGCTGCGCGGCTGGATCCTGCTGGTGGTGCTGATCTACTACATGACCGGTGCGCAGCGCGTCCTGCCCATCCACATGCACATCAAGCTGCTCATATCCGGCTACTTCTTCCTCACCGGGTACACGCACTTCACTCACCTGTGGCACACGGGCAGCAGCGGATCCCTGTTCGTCCGCTTCTTCCAGGCCATGTTCCGCGCGAACTTCCTCAGCGTGCTGCTCTGCTTCTGCATGAACCGGCCCTACCAGTTCTACTACTTCGTGCCGCTCCTCTCCTTTTGGCTGTGCGTCGTCTACTTCGTGCTGGCTCTGCCGCCACGGATATCCTCCGCCTCGGTGGACGCCAATCCGCTGCACTACCTCTACCTCGTGTGCAAATGCATCGGCTGCCTCGGCGGGATCACGGTGCTCTTCATGTCGGAGGTGTTCTTCGAGCGCATCTTCGTGACGCGACCGTGGAAGGCCCTGTTCGTGACCACGGACGATGATCTGCACGAGTGGTGGCACCAGTGGAAGCTCGATCGCTACACTGTGGCCTTTGGGATGATCTACGCCGCCTGCTTCCACATCGCCCAGAAGTACAATGTCTTTGACGACAATAACCACGGCAACCTGTTCTCGCGGAGGACCTCCATCTCGGTGACCCTGCTGGCGCTCCTGGGCGTCGGCGTCTACACGGCCTTCTCCTTCCTGTGTCGCAACGTGCAAAACTGCGAGGAGATCCACTCCTACATCCTCTTCATCCCGATTGTGGGCTATGTGGTGCTCCGCAACATTTCAGGTGAGTTTCTGAGGTAGAGGAGAAGTGCCCTTGATATATTGCTTGGATTACAGGTATCCTGCGGACGCGCTACTCCGCCTTCTTCGCCTGGTTCGGCCGGATTTCTCTGGAGCTGTTCGTGTGCCAGTACCACATTTGGCTGGCTGCCGACCGCCACGGTGTCCTCGTCCTGCTGCCCGGCTCCCCCACGCTGAACATGATCATCACGTCGTTCATCTTCGTGTGCGCCTCCCACGAGGTGCACCGCCTCACCCAGATCATCCTGCCCTATGCAGTGCCCAACGACTGGCGGCTGGTGATGCGAAACTTTGTCATCTTCCTCATTGTGCTCATACCCGTGGCCCGATCCGACGGAATGTTCTAGGCTCTGATCCTGATCCGCCCAGCTGGCGAACCCAAGTATTTTACAAACAGATCCCTCTGGCGAAAGTGAACCCCTAGTGTGCTTCAGAATGGGGTCACACTAGTTGGTTTTCTGATTATTTTTCGAGACGAAGATTAGTCATCTGACGAATACCTTAAGAAACCTTTTACATTTTTTATATATATTTTATTTTTTTTTTTACAAGCTTCCAAGGCACACACTTAACCCTATTTATTTTTGGATCTTGAGGGGAGCGACCCACTCTAGGTATATAGTGCGAATCATAGCTGTAAGCCATAAAGTGTAGCCAATCCCGAAACGGGAAAACCCAACCTACTTAATAATAAACTTCTCCATTTAAGCTAAGCCAGATTAGATTCGATTACGAGTCCGTTCCATGTCCATACCAGATCAGAGACCAAGTGGAAAAAGTATATAGAAATTGTATCATACTCTCGGATAGTGGAACAGATGATTATACTTGTGATTATATTATTTGTCAATTTTTGATTTTATTTGTCAATTGCAATATGCTCATAACTGCCTTAATCCAATATTTGTATCTATGCAATAGATGCCTTAGTACTTTTAAAAATCTCTTCAGCATAAAGGCTTTAACTTAACCATAACCGGCAATATTCTTATGGTTCTGAAACGCACTGTATTCACACATTCAAGTAGAAGTGTCACCTTACTATTATGGATATATACATATATACATATATATATATACGCGAATCGATCTACAATCTAGGATTAATCGTAGCTTTAACGGAATTATGCACAAATACTTAAAGTCACCCACACCAACTCACTTATACACTTCCCCACACATACACAGCAGCTACCAAATGTATGTATAAATCAAGTCAATAAATCAATGGATATAAACTCATGTCGGGCACTGTTCCGGCCCAGGCCTCTGGCGGGAAAATTTGTCACACTTTTCCGGGCCACAGCCTGCGGAAACTTTGGACTGCGGCCACTGAACCGGGCACATTCCCAAGTGTCAGGTGTAGGCACCTCTAATTGACAAGCCAAAAGCACAGGAAATGCACAGAGATAATCTCAGACAACATGGCGTATGAGTGATATAAAATTAAAATTATTCCCCATCCCCCTCTAATACTAAATCTTAGATGAAAGAGTTGGTTTTTATTTTTATTTTTATTTATAATATTATATTTTTGCCTACCATTTTCGTTCAGTGTACAGGTGCATTGCAAACATTTCAAGCAGAGTTGGAGTGAGACAGAGACAGGGGACGCGAAAGACAGCGCAAGGAAGAGCAAAGGAGGCCTCATTATCCTTCGCACACACTCTCAGGTAAACGTGTGCACATATTTACACACACACACAAGCAGAGACACTCTCGGTTAATGAAGGACTTAATTCGCATCACAAACAGAAGCTTGTCTAGTTCAATTGGAAAAGGTTTTTGGTTTTAAGGATTGTGGCAGGCAAGGTGGGGGGATGCAGTTAAATTGCAATTGTTTTCCTTTTAACGGTATTCTTAATAAACAGTTAAAACAAAAAGATGGCGAGCTTACCGCCACAATTTCATATTATTTCTGAGGTTCGACCACAACATAATGGTGGCGCTTGAAAGTTGTCAACGATCGGCCCAAAAAGCTCCCCTAGCCTGGCAACAAGTGGCTTGTCCACCCCTCACCTCACCCTCGCCCCACTGGCAGCGAAGCTTTCGATTTCCTGGCCGCCAACCAGGTCAGAGAGCTTTCAACGCTGCACAGGCGAACGAAGCTTTGCCGCCTTCGGGCTGCCGGCGAACGGCTTAAATAACGGTACTCGGCGCTGGCGGCTAGCAGTTAGCGGCCGAACGTTGCGTGGAATAGGTTCGTTGGCACTCCACCACCAGGAGGACTAAGAACTAGAACCAGTAGCAGGAGCAGATGGAGCACCCAAGCGCCACCTCTCCACCTCCTAGGCTGAGCGTTGAGCGCCAAAAAGTGCGGAGGACGCCGCTGTTGAAATTATTCGAAGCTTGACACAAAAAAATCACACGCCAGAAGATGGAGCGGGGAACGGGTGAATGGCGTGGCTGTTGCTCCTGCTACTGGGATTGTTGTTTTTCATTTAAAAATCTTGTTGTTGGACAGCGTGAAGTGCCAAGGAAGTGTTTCCCGCCCGACGGCTCGTAGCTCCCTTAGCTCCCTTCACCTGTAATTGTGTTCTTATCCTGTGGCAGTGCGCGTCCTTTGTGATATAGTTCGAAATTGTGACCCCCAATGAGTTTGTTTTTTTTTTGTCTATTTTTTCTTGTTTTCGCAGTAGACATATCAGTTGAAATATCAGATACATACATATGTTATACGTCTAGAGAGAGACAGTGAATATCGAAAAGAATATCATAAAATCCAGGATATCCAGGAAGTCGGAGAGATCGAAGGAGCGAGGAGGTCCCAGCGCTAACCACCGGGAAAAGGATCAACTTTGTGAAGTGAATCAAGCAAAAAAATCAAATTTAAACTTTTATTCAAGTAATTCTGGTTCCACATCAAAGTATATAAACTTTTAAGGACATAAACTTGTGTAAATACATATATCAAAGCTACATATATACATAGAAAGATTTAAGTGTAGCTATAAGATTTGAGAATCCACAATAATTCGAGCTTATATTCAAAATCCTATCAAACCAAGAACATACTCTATCCAAACAAACTAATCAATATTATAATCTAAAAATAAAAATATCAATTTAATTAATAAGTGTATAAGTCAAACCCTAAACCAAAAGCAAGATTCTAAAGATCCCAACTTGGATCGTGTTTAAGACATTATATCTAAGACTCATCTAAAAAGATCTTAAGATATCCACACTCTGAAAACTAAAAATGACTCTGAATCCGGGATTTGACTTGAATCCGAACCCATTGCCAGTCCAGCTCCATATCCAGTTTTGGGCAGGACACTCCAACTAAGGACTAAGGCAAGAAGACACCAGAGAGAGGAGGAGGGAAGCTCCTATCTATCCAACAGTATACTAGCTTTGAAAGGTAAGGGAGCCTGGACACAGGACACAAATTCAATTCCTTTGCCATTATTATGTTGTTGGCGCCATTTGGCATTAACATTGCTGTTGTTTCTGTTTCTGTTTTCGATTCTGTTTCCGTTGTTATCGTTATCGTTATCATTATCATTGTCATTAACATAATCATCGTTGTAGCTGTTACTTATGTCATTTGCAATTACAATTGCTGTTGCGATTACAATTAATGTTGAGTACACGAGCGAAATGTGCAACAAACCAGACAACCAGACAGACGGATGGATGGACTGCACTGCAAAAAAAGATAGGTCTTAGTTTGATTTTACTAGGATAGCGCTTTCGTCTTGATTCTCTCAGTGTAGACACAACAATACCAAAGATACTCAGATACTTGCCTCTTGTTTTCGTGTCGCAGCCTCGCAGCCTCTTAATGCCTTTTACTGCGCATTAGTTATCCCAAGTACTTAGGGCCCCCGTTGGGTGGGTGGCCCCTGGGCGGAGGCTATGTATTGTATTGAAGCCAGGACACCCCACTCCCTGATGGAGTGCACTTTCGTTTTCCAGCTTTTTCGGTAACTTTAATGGCTCATTGTACACTACTTAATTGGTGGGCATGATTAAAGTTTATACCAGTGGGGAGGGGCGGATGGAGGACAAAGCCTATCAATGACAAAATCCACCGCCCTACAGCCTGGCAGGCAGGCAGGCAGGCATCCTTGTGAGCGTCCTTGTGTATCTGGCAGTTAATTAGAATTGCGTTGGCTGGCTGCTCCTTGTTTTGATTGTACCAGACAGACGCTTAGACAACTCACGTCTTTCGTCCTGCGATTTGGACTGGGTCGACCCCCAACGCCCTCTCCTCAGACAGACACACACACACAGATACACGAATATGTGTATGTAAAAGTCCTGAGGACATCGGTGTCCTTGCATCTACTAAGAGCGTAACATCTGGCTTGCTTCTCCCCCCAAAGAGACCTCCTTGGAAATCCCTTCCTTGGCGTCCTTTTCGCCTTTATTCATTCTTGTGTGTGTTTGTTTTTCCTTTTTTTCACGGTTTTTCAGGGACTCGGCTTTTGCGTTTTGTTTCCATTTGATATTCGTTTTGTTTTCGGTCCTGGACTCGGTCTTGGTCTCCTCGGTCTCGGTTTGTTGGCCAGCTCAGGAATTAAAACGGCTGGCAACTGCTTCAAACGGCTTTCAATTGGCCACTAATAGCTTCAAACTTTGGCTGCCAGTCGGCTAGTGTGATATTCATCATGTCCTGCCCGTTACGGAGCTGAACTATTTCTCAGAGCCCCCAGAGCCCTCTAATGTATGCTACACTTTTGTTTCGCCCCAGGCCCGGGGAGGAAGAAAAACTCAAACGAGGAAAAAAATATGAAAAAAAATACCAAATGTAAACAAATCAAAAATGCCGGCCATGTCCTTTGGCGTTATGCTCCACATATTTTTCTTTGTTGCTCCCCTAATATATACAAATATTTTGATGGCCGTCGGTTGGGATCCTGGCCATAATGGCTTGGTCTGATAATTTAATTTTCTTCTCGTCCTTTCCGCTTACTAGCCAGGGTGTCAGCTGTGCCGAAAGGACATTAAGCAGAACTTGAAAGACAGACAGAGGTTGTTGCTCTGTTAATAAAAATCACAGCCATAGTCCTTGCTCCATTACTCCAGTATCCTGTATCCTGTATCCTGTATCCAGTGCAATCTAGTCCAGCTTCCAGGGCAGCTGCAAATTAATAATCCTGTCTGGAAGCTTCGACCCACTCATTGGAATGTTTTTTGAAAGCATTTGTTTTGTTTTTATTTCCAATTTGACATTTTTGTTTGCCCAGCTCCCACCTCACAGGACACCCAGCACATGCCACTGGACACTCTTTTTTATTTTCGATTCGATTCCATGCGAGTGTTTTTTAGTTCCGGACAGCTTGTTTGTAGCTCCTCCATTATTCACGAGTGAAGTTTTAAAGCAAACGCCTTGTTTTTTTGTTTTGGTGTCGCTTTTTATTAGTTTGCTATTGCTTTGTTGGTGTCCTGTTTAGCTAGTGTTGCGCCGCCGTTACAGAATGTCCTGCGGAATGCTCCCCCAAGTCCCTAGTGTCTAGTATTTGCCACCCTAATCTCCCGAATTTAGTCGAAAAAAACCAAATCCTTCCAAGAACCATTTGGGAGGCTAAAAGCTTTCTTTCTTTTCAAGTGAAAACTGCAAAAAATGCAGTAGAGTTTTAAGGATAACACTGAGCTGTATTATTGATGCTCTTTCGAAGAAAGGGTCTCCACCGCCCCAGAGATATCCATAGGTTTGGTAATAAAATCAGCTATTTTTGTGGATTTTTTGTCGGCCGGATGTGTGGGCGGGCGGGTCGTAAAAACCCACGATAAACCCACGATCATAAATGATAAAACAATCAATCTGAATGAAGTTTATTAAGAGACCACATCCACATCGCTATCGATTTAATTGATAGTTGTACTGATTAGGTCGGCAGTAATATTGGATAG